TTGCTCCCCAAACGTTAAACCTTCGACCGGCGGACTAGTAGTCAGGTGGGTGACCACTGGCGAATCCCCGCTGTTGTATGTTTTTGTTTTTGCAAGTCCTTTGATATTTACTCGATCTGTGTCACAGACTTTGGCAGGATCTTGGTATCAGGACATATGTAGCAATTAGGAAATGTACTAGATACTACCTCTTGAGAACTTGTGCATGCCACATATATGATCTTGCCAAAAGTCAACGTCGTGTACAGTGCTCTGTGGAGCTTCTGTTCCATTTCCTTATTATTTATTCTTTTTGTCCCCAGTCTCTGCTTTCTCAAGCATGTCAAGGCAATTGCTACAGACGCCGTTTGAAATTTACCGAACATGGGGGCATGCCAATGATAGAATTGATTTTTCATGAACCGTAGTAAATAATAGAAAAAAAACTGGTCAATCCCTCCAAGGCACAATCACTTCCACATGGCTGCATCACTATCCTCGTGTGCCCTGGGTATTTTACTAAGTCAAAAATTGACTTGACATCAATATTGCCACTGAAAAAAAAAAGAATAAAGTGACCCTCATAACACCCCAGACATGGACATCATTCACCTCCTCCTCCTTCGTTCCCCGCATCTCTCCTCTAATCCACCAGCCTAAAAATCCGTCTTCCCACCCATAACCTTCGCCGCATTGACTGCATTCATCTTGGCCGCCCACCCCTGCGCGGGCACAATCTTGCGCACAGTTCTAACCTCATCAGACGCATAGCCTGGGATGCGGATATTATAGTTGCGCTCGAGAATGACCTGGATATCGCGAATGTCTAGCTGGGGAGAATCGCGGAGTTTAGAAAGCTTGCAGGCGTTGCTTATGACATTGTCAACAAAGTCGTCTGCGAGCTGGAGGACGGCCTGGGTAAAAGAATGTTAGTTGCGAGATCAGGTGTTATTGGATAAGTGAAAGACTTTACCTCTTCAACTTCTGGTGTGAGGGCTTCTTCTGAGCCGCCGGTGACTTGGCGGACAAGCTCATCTAGCTTGCGCTTGCTGAGGACGCGGTCGCCGTCGCCTTCGAGCTGAAAGGGTGGTGGTCGCGGGATGACAGGCTGACCCATTGGTCCTGGCGCACCGTTGGTAGGGCCACTCATAGTTGGCCGCGCTTGACCCATGTGGACGGCTTGTGGTGAGGTTACGTTCAGGTGTCGAGGGATCGGCATCTTGGGGTTGTTCAGTTGCTCGCGCTCGCGACTGCCAAAGTTACCACCTTGTCCGCCCTGTTGCATGGGTGTGTTTGTGCGCTGGGGGTCGGTGTAGGATCGGTTCGCAGCACTAACAGCAGCCTGGTGAGAGAGGGGAACTGGCGGACCGGTTCCGGTTGCAGACTGCGGGTGCGGTGAATTGCTCTGCTGGTGAGCGTTGGCTTGCATAGGGTTGATCTGAGGCCGCTGCTGCTGGTGAAAGTTTTGTTGCTGCTGCTGTTGTTGCTGCGCGAATTGCGGCATTTGATTCGGCGGCATTGTTTGTGAGTGAGGCACTGGTGGCCGAGGCTGCTGTTGTTGAGGCAGTGAAGGCGGCATTTGCTGGTTGAGTTGCTGTTGCTGTTGCTGTTGCGGTGGCTGTTGCTGGTTTCCCTGGTTTCCCTGGATGTTGTATTGTTGCTGGGGCTGGGATTGCTGAGGTTGTGGTTGTTGCTGCGTTTGCTGCTGCGTTTGTGGTTGCAGCTGCTGTGGCTGTCCACCCTCAACCTTGATCTGAGGCTCCTCTTTTACCTGAGGCTGCGCAGAGGCATTGGGCTGCGATGGCTGTCTTTGAGGCGGCTGGGGTTGAGATTGCTGTTGTGACGGCTGCTGCTGCTGTTGCGGTGGCGGCGGTGATTGTGCTGAGTTTTGGCCTTGGGTCTGCGCCTGTGCCTGACCCTGCGAGTTTTGCTCGCGCTCCTCCTTCCACTGCTTCTGCAAAGCTCGAAACTTGTCAATTTGTGCTCTCATATTGGTATGCTCCTTCTCAATCTTGCCTTTCAAGACAAGTAGATCTTGTGGCAAATCTTGTCCGTTGCTTTGTCGTTCGCTCAGTTGTTGCATGAGTTTCTTTCTACTCTCATTCAAAGAAGCCTGCTTTGCTAGCATGTTCAGGTAACCTGTTCGATATTCTTTCAGCTTGACCTCATACTCGGGCGTGCCCGGCGAAGGTCCGGTCAACGGCCCCTGCATAGGGAATTCGTGGACGTGCTTTACTATAGCAGGATCCACCTGGCCACGACCTTGGTTTTGGCCTTGGTTAGATTGCTGTTGGCCGACTGCCCCCGCGGTGTTTTCGGCGCGAGCCTGGCCGCCTTCTTGCTTGACGGGGTTCTGGTTCTGCTGACCAACGGCATTAGACTGGCTTGCTTGTCCCTGGCTCTGGTTTCCTTGCTGTTGCTGTTGCTGTTGCTGTGCCTTCATCTTGGCCCTGTATTGGCGCTCGCGTGTAATGAACTTCTGTGACCATTCTGTCAACTTCTGGCGAGCATTGGTATTTTCCTGGCTCCCCTGTTGGTGCGTGTTGCAGATGTTCCAGAAATTCTGCATGATCAAGCGATACTTTTGCTTCTCGTCTTCAGGAAGACATTGCAGCTTAAGTATATCGTCAGGGCGTAGCAGCTGTTGCTGTTGGCCGCTGTTGGGCTGCTGCTGCTGGGGCTGGGGCTGCGATTCGCTCATCGTGAGGGCTGCGGACTCCCGAACCGCGCGATCAAGGCCTTCTGGGTAGTGTACGAGATTCGGTGGGGGATGTATGTGATCGTTAGAATCGCGTACTTGTTGCGATTAGACGGGCGCGCGCGCGGAGAGATGGGGGTTTACGTTTGAATTATGATGGTCGGAAGGATGAGGTTTGGAATCGTGGTTGATCGAGGAGCCAAGCCAGTACCCAACCGTCGCGCGTTCCTTCAACAGCACGTGCACGCGTCATTCCCGATTATCGAAACAGAGACACAGCAGCACTGCGATGGTGATAATCGTATCAGTTTGCAATCCTATCTCAGGTTATTATCATTATTCTGACGCGTCTGACACATGGCTATCCTCAGAGATGGTCTTCCTGGATCCTGCCTTCATGGCCCTTTCGCGGGCATTCCTAACCTCCCATTCAAACTCCTTGAGTGCCCTGAGCTCGCTACCAACGAACAACAACCCCATCAATCCATCAACGACGCCTACACTGAACCCTAGGGTGCTCAAAAGCATCAAAATGAAAGCAACATAGTTTTTTGGTGACCACCACACACCAATCAGGCACCCAATGGAGAAGGATAGTTGGTAGAAGAAGTGCCCTATTCGCAGCTTGCGCTGCACTCGCTCCCTAGCCTCGTACTTCATGGTTGTAGCCAAGATCTCATCATAAGTCTCGATGGGCAGGTATCGTTCAGGTAGGGTCGAAGGAGATAGCGGGACAGCTGACAGAGCAGTCGAAGTCCTCGTCAGCGTCGCCTCTACGGAGAAATGATCACTGAGAGAGCAGTGTAATGTAGGATGGCGCATTGACATGCCCACATTCGCTTCCTTCAACTCCCACTCCGCCGTCTCTTCCTTTGTCTCTGGGTTCTGAAACCTTCCACTGCTGTAGAAGATATAATCCAGCCGTTTCGCATTAGGGTCTTCAACGGCAGGATCTATCTGCACGTTTTCGCCCTTGGCAAGACGCCTCTGTTGTCCCTTGTTCCACCTCCAGGAGTTGAATTCGCTGTCACATGTTGCGCCATTGATAGTCATATTGAACTCGGCAGATGGCATTGGCACGCATCGACGGCGTTCAACCTCGTCCCTTGCTGCGCCGATCGAAGAATCGGGGTGGAGTATGCGCCATACATCGCGGACTGGCGAGTGCGTCTCTATTATACGGTGTGCGAGGGATAGCGGAATCATGTTGAAGTCGCCCATGCCGATTACAAGGTGTCCACGTTCAGCGGCTGCACGCATGAGCTTTGTGATTTCCCATGCTTGGGCTGTGCGGTGGCAGATGTAGGAGTCGTGGGGTTCGCTTTCATAAGGGGCATGGAGCTATTCATGTCAGCGTGTGCATTTCAGATACTTGTCAAGAGCATTGAGAACACACATGTGTACAGAATACTTCTGCGATATCTCCCCGGGAAGGTCCCATTTGTATCTTTGCACAAGCAACTCCTTTACCAACGAACCAATCTCCACGGTAGAATGCAGCAGGCCGTCCATTGAGCGGATAGCGCACCATGTTGCTCTCGATGATGGGCCATCGAGACAAGATGACTAGCCCGCCACCAAAGATACCACTGTAGTAGAACTTTCCATATGGCAGTATGTGCTTCGTCTTCTCACGAATCGCATGGTAGTCTTCCTGGGTCCAGCACTCTTGTAGGCCGACGATATCTGGCTGTGGACTTGCAGCAGCAATTTGAACACCGATTTCGGTAAGACGCTCGTTGCGAAGTTTAGAAATAAATTTAAGACCCCAGCAGTTGAGTGAGAGAATGCGGATATCTGTGGGTGATTGAATGTCCTCGGAAGCCATGGTGAATATGTATTACCTGGAGAATAGCGGAGTGTGAGTGCAATGATGCAACTGGGGAAATAGTCCCTGAAATGCTGCAGGGGTGCTCCTGACCGCCCGCACGCTAACGCCCATATTGCCGATCCGTCGCGTTTTCCCAGTCCAACACCAAACAACTGGCTTCTCCATATTCAGCAATGGACGGCACCCCATCTCCTTCGCCCAAAAGACGACATCAGGATGAGGATGCATATGATGAGGAGCGGCCGCGAAAACGCTCTCCCTCCCATACACCGCACAATGCCTCACCAAGTTACAGGCTAGCAGAACGGCCTGCGCGCCGGTATAGCAGAGACAATAGCGATGATGAACAGCGGGAATATCGAGATAGAAGGCCGTCTTACTCGCGGTCAAGGTCACGCTCACCACGTTCGAGCTCTTCATCGCCAAGCCGACGACGGCGCACCTCTCCTGCACCACCACCAAAACCGACCTCCCTAAACTACTCTCCCACCCTGATTCTGCGCGGCCATAAGAGAGGCATCACTTGTGTCAAATTTTCCCCAGACGGTCGCTGGCTGGCCACTGCGTCTGCAGACTGTACCATCAAGATCTGGGATGCCAAGACCGGCGCACTTGAACACACACTCGAAGGTCACCTCGCCGGTGTCAGCACAATCTGTTGGTCGCTAGACTCCAAGATTCTCGCAAGCGGCTCCGACGACAAGAGTATACGATTGTGGGATACAGCAACTGGATTGGCACATCCTATTCCGTTCATTGGTCACCATAACTATATATACAGCATAGCGTTCAGTCCAAAGGGCAACATGCTTGTCTCTGGTTCCTACGACGAAGCAGTATACCTCTGGGATGTCCGCGCCGCCCGAGTTATGCGCTCCCTTCCTGCACATAGCGACCCGGTGGGCGGCGTCGATTTCGTTCGCGACGGCACGCTCATCGTCTCATGCTCACACGACGGCCTCATCCGTGTCTGGGACACGGCAACTGGCCAGTGTCTCCGCACTCTCGTCCACGAAGACAATGCGCCAGTGTCTTCGGTCATTTTTTCACCCAACGGAAAGTACATTTTAGCTTGGACATTGGATTCCTGTATACGGCTATGGAATTATATTGAAGGGAAAGGCAAGTGTGTGAAGACGTACCAAGGACACACAAACAAGAAGTACTCGCTTTTGGGTACTTTTGGCACATACGGCAATCGTGAAGCTGGCCAGGAATATGCTTTCATAGCATCTGGCAGTGAAGATAACAGTGTCGTCCTATGGGATGTGAGTAGCAAAAACATACTTCAACGGCTCGAAGGCCATTCAGACGCCGTATTGAGCGTTCACACGCATCCGACCGAACAATTGATTGCTAGTACAGGACTAGATCGTACTATTAGGCTATGGAGACCGAGAGAAGGCGGAGACAATAAAGAAGAAGGAAAGGAGAATGGGCATGAGGAGACAGTCGTTGAGAATGGGATCAAGCAGGAGGAAAGTAACGGTTACGAGCATGATACTCTGCCTCCGAATCCTTTTGCTGAGGCATGAGCGTAAGCTGCTTTTGCCAGACATGAAGAACGAAAAGCAGAGGGAGAAAGGAATCAGAGATAATGAAGTAAGTAGTTTTAGATACCCCATACTATTGCTCAAATGCCGAGTAGGTAATCTTGCCCACCCTTTTCTATATGTCATGTCAGGCAACGCAATGTCCCAACGCATACCTCAACACCCAAATCGTGCCTTTTTCATCAACATGAAAAAAAGAGCTTCCAGCCAGAACGCCATTGTGCTTCATGAAAGTATCCCAAAACGCCATGAAATGCCACCTCTTGCCTCTCCCCTAGTTCGCATCCAGTCTTTCCTTTCTAGCTAAAATGGATACCCTCTTGGTTAAATGCATACAGCAGCTTCAAGAAATCAGCCTCATCGCACAATCGCGCTCGCTTATCAGCAAGCTGCGTCTCATCCTCAAGCACCTTCCTAACCTTCTCCCGCACGAGCTCCGCGAGCCTACCCTTGCGCTTGCGATTCGCTCCATTCTTGCTCTTCTTGCTTTCAGCCTGAAGCTGCTTGAAGAAATCAGGAAGTTCGTCATCTGGGTCATCGGGATCAGAGAAGCCCTTGAACTCGTCGTCTACATCCATGGTTTCGGCCTCTTCTGCCGCGGCGATTTCACTGGGATCGAGCGGGGTGTCGTCGACGGGGATGTCATTTTGCGCGCAGTAGAGACGGTAATTACTAGCGAGGAGTTCGAGGACAGCTGCGGTACCCATGAAACTAGCGCGCAGGGTCCTGTTCTTTCGGACGAAGCAGATTCGCAGTAGACCGTCCCACTCCTCGTATGCGATTTGTGGGCGCGGATTCTTGGGCTCGATGCGCACGACGTTGCTTTCAACTTGGGGAGGGGGGTTGAAATTGTTGCGTCCGACTTTCATGACGTGCGAGACTTTGGACCACATTTGCACGTTGACGGAGAGGCGTGAGTAGAGTTTTTCGCCGGGTCGCGCGAACAGGCGCATGGCGAATTCACGCTGGAACATGAGTACGCAGCAACGTGGGGGGTGTTGCAGCGCGAGTAGTTTAAAGACCAGGGGAGAACTGATTTGGTACGGCGTGTTACTGATGCACACGTCGAACCGTGGAAGTTCAGCTTTAATCACGTCGCCCAACCGTATTGTCAGTCTCTTTTCTTCCGGTGAGCCTTGGACTCGCTTTGTTAATTCTGCTGCCATTCGCGGGTCCATTTCTACTGCCGTGACTTGCTTCACCGCCTTGAGTATCAGAACTGTCAGGTTACCGGTACCAGGACCGACCTCCAGGACGTGGTCGCTTTGCTTGAGGTGCGCTTTTTGGACAATGGCCGTTGCGACACCAGGGTTTTTGAGGATATGCTGGCCGAGGTCCTTGTCCATCTTGAAAATCGAATGCGCCGCTGCCGCTTTGGCCGATGTCGGTTTTGAGTAGGGCGAAGAATTGTTGTCAGCACCTTTGCTGCGCTTTTGCTTTGCTTTCGGCATCTTGGGTGGTTGTGGGTAGGTTCTGGAGCGTCGTCGGCTGGGTTTATAGCGATCGTAGCGAGTCGAGTCCTCTTGCAGAAATACGCGCGAAACAAGTTTTCTGGTTTCCCAGGTGTCTCTAGTAGACGTGAGGATGTGACGCTGCTGGTGACAAGTCGGTGTCGGTTGTTGGATGTGGGGATAATTTTTTGGGTGTTGCGGACTTAACACGGGGTTAAGCAGCGCATGTGAGCCCGCGTTTCTACTGAACGCGTCCCTTGTTCATGACGTCTGTTGCATCTCTCCTTCTACAGTTGCATCAGATTTTCACATCCTTCATTGCTTCTATATGAGGGTAGAGTGTGCGAAAATAGAAAATTTTGTTTTATACTCTCTTCGCTGTCGCTCTTTTGCAGTCTTTGGATATACTCGCTCTCTACTACACCAGCCGTTGTCAAAGCCGCGCCTCTACTTCACCTTGCTGGACACAGATAGCAATTGCTGGACCCAGACTCCGTCTTTACGCGAAAAACCACGTGTATCTGTCTTTGATAAGGCACAGCCCGCTTCGACACGCCCAGGCCGACCATCCGGAAATTGGTCCGCAAATGTTTTCAGGGGCCCATTGAGCTATTCACCCTGTCGCTACCGCTTTCGCTCATTACCACTCGCTTCTTTTGCTCAAATCACCAGTCTGCCACATCATAAAATTAGAGAAGTGCTCAGTCCTTTCTCCACAATATCAAAAGCCTTTGCTTGCTCACAAACTCCGACTACAATTGGCAATAACCTCCAAGCCTCACACATCATGGCCAAGCCACTCGAAGGTACCATTTCTGGCTCCTCACTCTCATCAATTTCTGATCAAGTAAACATAGTGACCGAATCTGCTACTACCGTTCAGTCTACACAAAATGGCAAGAAGAGAAAGGTGGAGACAACTTCGCGTACAAAAAGGGCTACAGCTCAATACACCGAGGTAGAGGAGGTTGTTACAGTTGCCTCCAATTCACCTCGAACTAGCAAGCGTGCAACGAAGAGGGTGAAATATGAGCAGGAAACTGATGACGAGATGGGCGATCAACAAAGTGACAACGGCGAAGGCAAGCCTAAGAAAGCCTCGAAAAGAACCAAGAAGGTGGCTGCCCAAGAGCCTGATGCAGACGCCAAGTCATCGACAGAACCAAAGCACAGTACTCTGAAGAAAGCCGCAGTAGAGGCAAATCCCAATGAGGACGACACAGTTGAAGAAAATAAAGTCACCAAGAAGACTGCTAAATCTACGAAAAAGAAGGCTGAAGACGTCGATGAAGACAAACCTAAAAAGGTCACCAAATCCAAGGCCAAGCCCGCGAAGATTCTACCACCAATAGCAGAGCGTACCAAGGATATCAAGCTGCGAGTTGGCGCCCACGTGAGCATTGCAGGAGGTTGGTTATGCCCATCTATTTTGCTTCCCTTAGAACACTGGCTGATATGGACCGAACCCCCTTTTAGGCGTACACAATGCTGTTATCAACGTCGTACATATTGGGTAAGTACACTACCTTTTGCGCTTCAGAAGTTACCCTTTATGGAGGCACATACTGTATATGAGTAGAACTGATGTTGCTAGTGGTAACGCTTTTGCCATGTTCATGAAGAATCAACGCAAGTGGGAAACGGTCGATATGGACCCAGAGCATGCACAATTCTTCGTCCAGTGGTGCAAAGACCATAGCATAGACGCCGCAGAGTGCTGCTTACCTCATGGATCATACCTGGTCAACCTCGCACACCCGGATCCTGCGCGCAAGAAACAGGCCTATGACTCCTTTCTCAATGACTTGACGCGTTGCCATAGGCTAGGCATTCGGTATTACAACTTTCACCCAGGCAATGCTAACGCGACCACCCACGAAGAAGGCATCCGGATCATTGCTGAGAATCTCAACAAGGCACATGCAGACCCGGAGACTGGCAAAGTTGTTACCGTTCTTGAAACCATGGCAACCCTTGGCAATACCATTGGTGGCACCTTTTCAGACCTCGCAGCCATTATCAAGCTTGTCGATGACAAGAGTCGTGTAGGGGTTTGCTTGGATACCTGCCACGTTTTCGCCGCCGGTTATGACCTCCGCACTCCTGAAGCATACGCCGAAACAATGAAGAAGTTTGACGAGGAGATTGGTTTGGATTATCTCAAGGCCTTCCATATCAACGACAGTAAGGCTCCTTTGTCAAGTCACCGTGACCTTCATGCCCGCATCGGCACTGGCTATCTCGGGCTCGAATCCTTCCATAACCTGATGAATGATGAGCGCTTTCATGGTCTTCCTATGGTTCTCGAGACACCAATCGACGTGACTGACAAGAATGGAAAGAAGGTCGAGGACAAGGGTGTCTGGGCCCGGGAGATCAAGATGCTGGAAAGCCTTGTTGGCATGGATATCGACTCTGAGGAGTTCAAGACACTGAGTGCACGTCTTCAAGATGAAGGTGCTGGTGAACGCGAGCGTGTTGGTGACCAAGTACAAAGAAAGACGGCCAAAGACGCGAAGCCCAAGAGCAAAAGGGCGGCTAAGAAGAAGGTCGAGAGTGAAGAGGAGGATGACATGGAAGAATAAGCACAAAAGCACATGGGCTGCTTACCGCCGCCACCGACGAGATGGATGACGCATGTGGGGGTATTTGGCTGCAGCGAAAGGCTCGGCTCGAGTGTATGTTTCTCGCTAGTCTTTTGAATAAGGCCTGGACTAGCTAGTTTTGAAAGGGGCGTATTCAGTGCATGGATCTCGTAGGGCGTGGATAGTTTTATATGTGAGGATACCCTGGGTTGGGATTTTGGAAGCGTCGATTCAGTCACGATATGGTTTGTCGGAATCTATACAGCTTAATGAGCACAGCAAATTCGCTAGATAATACAATACATAGGGAAAGAGTGGGTATACTGCCATCAGAAAGAGGCCCCTGTGTGTGTGGATGCTACAAGTCATGGTTGTAATATGCTCAAACCCCTGCCTTAAGTAAATTAAATCTGCAACTACTGGATGATAGTTATTGGTGGGTCACTTGGAGGAAGGTCAGCAAGCTTATCCCTTGGGCGCTAATGCTGCGGCGAGGCCCCATGTACTAGTAGAATCGGCAATGACCAGAAGTGAGACAGCGATATTAGTTTCTAGCTGAAATGTGGTCGAAATGCAACCATTGCATACGATAGCGTCTGTTTGTCACAATCGGCCCTTTGGAGCGTATAGCACTGATATGGCCGGTTTTTGAACTGCGTGCTACAGGAGTAGGGCTGTGTGCAGGCCGGGAATAAGGAGTTTTGCAATGGCGACGGCGAAGGCGACTAGACATTGCCACGATCCTCCCGCGGATAGGGTAGGCAGACTTTCCGGATCACGAGCGCGGTTCAACCGTTGGAGTAGCGATACGCCGTACGCAAACCGAGGTTTGTAGTATGCGGCGGTGGAGGATGTTAGTTAGACGTGCCTATAGCTACCACTGTACTTCGCCTCAATGCACACCGATGGCCCACGATTGCTGGCAGACAGCGCATAGAGGGCTCGTACCTGCCACTCAATTGCAGATTTAGGCTGCAGATATCTTATCAGCCCTACAAGCGGCAGTAGGGCCCCTCTTACATCACTCTGGTTGCGCCTGTGGCGGCCGGAATGCCCGTCGGTAAAGTGGCGGACGTTGGAACCGGTGGTGGCTTTGAGCATATATCTCCGCGCGAATAGCATATGGAGCTCCTTTTGCCATGGTCGTCCATGTCCGCCTTGGGCGCGGGGGAACAGCGACGATCTTGTACGGTGTGGGAGTCACAAGATGATGGCCTGCGGTCCATGTATATCGTATAGTGTGGGCTCTAGCAGCGGGGAAGGGGACGGTAAGCCAGACGGGGCGCCAGCGGAGAAGCCGAGCGGTCGGGAGTGGGCATGTCTGTGTGTATGAAGGCTTCACCACGAACTTGGGGATGCCATAGGGTGTGCTGCGGTTGGTGTCTGGGGCATGTGGGCTTGGCTGTGGCTGTCGCTGCCCTTGCAGTCGGGCCTTCCGTCGTTCGTCCACACTTTGCTACTACAGTGAACACAGGCCATCTGACCGGCTCACGCACCGTCTTCGGCCGTCCTTCTAGCCTCGTCGCAGTCACGACACTGCCCGAGACCACTCTCTGTCTCCCCAACGTCATATCCAGCCCGGCCAATCAATCGCGCCCCGGTCGTATACGCGTCAGGCCTAGCCCCCTTGGGCTTCATGCTGCGAACACGTGAGTCGGCAAGCTTCATCTTCCACCAAACGCCCACCGCCAGTCCGGGATGTGAAAACCCAGCCCTGTTGCACTAAGCCCTGCCCGCAGCCACAATGTGGAAGCTTGTCCAAGAAGCGTAGTGGATACGGACATCCCGCATACTTCATACACAGCATCGTCCAACCAACAGATGGCTATTCATGTGCGTCGACCGCGAATGCTTTGAATTCACCTTCTCATGTCTTTATTAATTCCACGGCTGCATCCCACCACCCATCGGATTACTGACCCGACGTGTTCCCAGTCCTCGACAGGTGCGCCAGCTGCAAAGTATGGTCGGCGTCCCCAAAAGCACGGGGTGCCTCATCTGCCGGAAAAGGAAAATTAGTAAGTCGCCGGATCTCTCCTCCGCGCGGGCTTCTTCTGACTATTGCTAGAGTGCGGTAAGGCTAGCTCCATGGCTTGGGCCCGACTCGAGCACCCTGGCTAATGATGAACAAGATGAGACCTGGCCAGCTTGCGTAAACTGCCAAAAGAACGGCAAGTCATGCCCAGGTCCCCCAGCTCGACACACCTTCAGAGACCTCGGTCCCAGGTTCAACGCAAACTCTGCAGGGTTCGCTGGCGATGAATCCAGTGCACCGCCAGGTATGCTATACTAATCGAAAACAAAGCCATATATTCACAAAAATCCACAGATCAAGGCCACAACCGCTTGACGCAATTGAACGAGAAGTTCGCCAAAAATGGCTCAGTGGTCCACAAGTTCAGGATCTCGCCCAGCGGTTCGACACCTCGAAAAAGGTCACCCCGCTCAATCTCAGGGTTCAGCCCGCCCAAGTCACCCTTCCCGAGACACCCGTCGCCATCACAAGATCAGCAGCTCGCGCATGCCTTGATCGCAGCTACGAGAACCGGGAGTGCTGGACATCGAATGTCCGTCTTTGGATCCTTCATCCAAGAAGTCCCGGCTAGGATTGGACACAATCCTGCGCTTGACGCCGCCGTTACTGTACTCGTCAATGTCCACACATCGTTGGTCTACAAAAAGGCAGCAAATGAGATCGTTTCTCCTGAACTCTATATCCGAGCCATCAAGACACTACAAACATGTCTCGAGCATCCACAACTCGGTTTGTCATCCGAGACACTTTGCGCATCGATACTCTTGGGTTTGGTTGAGGTAAGATCTGCTTGGTCAGATTTTATCTTCGTAACCATACTTACATCACCAGGCGTTTGCAGGACCCAGGACGGGAAATCGATATTTGACCCATGTAGGAGGCGCTGGGCGATTGATGGAACTGCAAGGTCCCGGAAGGTATCATGACACCTTTACAAAGGAGATGCTACGCTTCAATCGAGGCGGAATCGTATGTCGACCTCCATAATCCACGGACAGAACCACTTTATCCCATAACTCCAATCGAGACACATCGTATTTTCAGCTGACACGTGTACAGATTATTACTTGCATGTACGAACGGAAACCATGCTTCCTTGCCTCACCCGGCTGGCGAGAGATAGCTTTTGACAAGACGGGACTCGGATTCGATGATTGCTTGAATACCGATTTAATGCAATATATGGCAGAGTTGCCAGGTATCTTCAACGAGCTAAAAGAGCTAGGTGACCAGCGTGTCTTTCAACTTTCACGCACCTCGGGCCTCAATTTTGACTCGAGTGGTCAATCGCAAAAGTCCTCATCCGAGACTCCCCCGTCACTTGACTTCTCCTCAGGATCCTTTGATGACATGGAATTTCTGGACGAATTACAGCCCATCGATGCGTCCTATCCGGTCGATCCAAGCTCATATGCCTGTCCATACGATCCTGCACGTGCTGCCTTACTGCAAAAGGTACGCAACCTCAAGGACGCCCTTCGTACACTGGGCGAACACATGGATGCGAAACTCAGAAACGGGACCGTTGCATCCGAGAGAGAACCCAGCGAAAGGGGCAGCCCTGTACGCACAATATACCACTTCAACCATTGGCGGGACATGACCGCATACAACTGCTTCTGGTCCGTCGTTATCCTGACGAACAAGATTTTAATGCGACTCCTGCCACCCTTCGATCGAAGCGTATACGAGATGCAATTTGAATGCCAGTATATTGCTCTCGAAATCTGCAAGACATGGGAAGACGCCTGGGCTAGTAGGCCAATAGGTGCGTTTCACACGGGCCTTAGTTTTGTCGTTGCATATGAGTTTTGCGCTCAGGATGTCAAAGAGTGGATCGTCAGAGGGTTGAACTCTCTCCTTGACTATCAGCAGGTGGATGCATTTCGTTGGTCAGACGAAGTCATTACTCATATGTCTTCTAAACTTTCTGGGGAAGGACCAGGTCTTGCTTTCTCCAATTTTAGGACCTCAGGAGAAGCGACTTGAAGGGCATGGCCTTGAAACACAAATGAAAAAGAAGCGACCAACACGTTCCGATCCGTTCGGGTGGCAGTCTGACTATGGAGATTGATGCCGAGCCGCGGCCGGTCGGAATTTGGCCTAGTGGGTGTATGACAAAAAACTTGGTCTCACTCACATTCTTACGTGCAGGCTACTGCATATGGGTTTATCAGCCCTATGTGCATTGTGGGGGCGGAATATAAATCACGGGCTTTTGTGTTAATGGTTCGATTGCTGACGCATTTGCTCTGTACCTAGACCGTCTCGGCACAGATAAGCCACGGCGGGTACGGTGCCAGACGGGCCAATGCCTGAAATGGCTCAACCCCCTGTCCGAAGAAAGCGTGAAGAGCGAGGCTGGACCTTTCCTTTGGCGATGTAACATTAATGTGGACATAGAACAGGGGGGGGGGCGAGTAGATCAGTTTTCAACTGGCTCAGACAAGGACACGGTAATTGTCTTGATACTGTCCGATGTCGTCCGCCAGAGGTAGTTGTGCGATTTTGTTGAAACAGATGGCTCAGACTCATGTGGTCAGTTTTGTTCCGTTTCCAATGAGCTCATTGTAGACTACTATGTAAGCAAGATTTACCAATATACGCTCAATACGATACAACCTGATACCCCGTAAATGAAACTGTAACCATGTCCTCCACACTAACCATTCTCGGTATTTACTCATGTTTGTCACTTACAAATAACGCACATCAACAAATGCACCCTCTCCTAAGACTCCTACACTCTAAAACACTAAACCTCACCGCGCAGCGCCATATCAGCCTCGCCTTTCGCTACCTCTAGCAACTCTGAAACACACATTCTATCCTCATAACACAACGGATGTGGACCCGGCGAGCTCAGTACTAGGCAATTCTATATCAAGTCAAGTGTCTCAACTAGAATGAGGAAATTGCTGATTATAGTGGGATGCGAGAGGATGGCGAGGGTAGGGATGTCAGGTATGCTTGGGTGGTAAATGGAGATTCAGAATAGAAACACGGAAAAGAAGCAGGAAATCCTGGTTTTGGTAAGTGGTATGTAATCTTCTTCTTCTCTTCATCGCCATTGTTGTTGTTTTTTTCATCACAGGGCCGTTCCATGCTTCTTGCGTCAAAACGCCACATAACCGTTTTGAGCGTCAAAAGAAGAAACAAGCCGCCCCAAAAAAGGTTCCGATAGCATCATCACTCTACTGATCTTTCTTTTTCCCGAACAAAGGAACAGCGGCATTGCATTGACTTTTTTTTTCCTTTTTTTCCCCAACGAAGAACAACAGCACTTGTTTCCAGAACCTAAAAAGTGAAAAAAAAAAATCATGAAAAGAACGAAGACAACACAAAACTCCCACAACATATGTTTCCATCCAAAACCCCTTCCCCCTGTGCTTCAGCATAGACATCTACCCACTCCCCTTTTCATACTCAAGTTGAGATACCACACCGTTTCTTACACTCCGCACTCCCGATAATTGCACCCGTACCTACAGCAGGAATATCCTTGCCTACATCCGCCGCGTTGAACGCATCATTGCCGAAGCCCGCACCGATGATATCTTGTGGTACAGACCACAAGCTAGGCAGAATATTCAGAGTACCGCTGTCATCGCTATTAAGCGATGAGATGAGTAGGGAGGGCTCGCAGTCTATATTTGGGGTATTAGTAAATATAAAAAGAACTAGTGCAATGTTTTCTTCCTTGATGGGGAAGGGGGGGTGAGTGGATGAGTAAACCACCCCCACCAACCAGCTTTACCGCCCCCAAAAAAAGAGAGTTTTCCTGATTAGGAAGTATGTAATAGTAGATTACTGCCAAATATAACAACAACAACAACATCATCATTAAAGCAAACTAGTAGAAAATCGGAGGCAAGTGGATGGACGAAAAAAGGGAAGTAAAAGAAGAAACATACCGTTATTCTGCATCATGTGCAAACTCGCCTGCGGAAACACCGTCACCATCATCGGCAGCAACTCGACTCTCCTGACGCCCACGCCGTTCTCGCCAATCATCCACGTGGTCGTGTTGCCAGTGATGGCAGTAACAATGTTGGTAGCCCGGGGATGTAAATGCGGGGGCAGCATGCCGCAGGGGGCCAACTTGAGGAGTGCGACGCTTGATCCGAGGCCCGTGACTGCCGGGAAAGTGGCGGCGTCGGCGTTGATGACGGCGCCGGTGGGGGAGTCGTAGTTGGGGTGCTTTGTGAAGTCGTAGGTCCAATCTGCACTGTTTGGGAGGAGGGCGGCGCGGTCAAAGGATGTGGCGGCGGTGCGAAGGGCGGCGTTGAGTTCTGGGTGGAGGGTACGGGATTTGGGGGTTTGGGCGGTAGTGGATGTGGTGAGGGTGGTGAGGAGGGTGAGGGGGAGGAGGAGGAAGTTTGTGAGGATTGTCATTGTGGAGAGATGGGTTGGGTTTGTAGGGAAGGTTTGTAGGAGGATTGGAGAAGAGGCTAGAGTATGGGAGAAGGGGTAGTGGTGCGTTGACGATGATGTTGTGTTGAAATGGGTGGGAGGTACGGCCTTGATATAGATTACCATGGGAGGTAAATCTTGCGGCGTCCTGCCTCCAGGAAGCCCGTTGTGTGGTGGATAAAAAAAAAACGAGGCTGAAGTTGGCCTTCTAACTAGAAGTAGAGCAAGATAAGCTCTAGGTGTTGATGTGTAAGGGAAAATGAGACTGAGCCGTGCGGTGCTGACGGTTTGGAAGCTAGTATGAACGGACTTGCAAGGTTGGGAAATTTGGTAAGCAAAGTAAGGCTTATTTTCTGGATACTAGATTTGTTGGCTCAGGCATGCGATGGAACTTTATATACTCAACTAGACTAAACGGCGGGTTAGCGACGCACGACGAGCCGTGAATAGTAATTGGAGACGACGAGAGACGAAATGGGTGTGCGAAGAAAACGATGGGCTGCTGACCGTCCAGTCTGCACTCCTTGTCGTAGGCTTTCAAGCCACTGTTACTCCTACTGGTGGCGTCCGTTAGAGACCATCTAGTGGAATGTTTCCAGATGTGGGTGCTCTATTCTGATCCATATCGGTATACATCCTATGTCATCCTCTTCTGGACAGACAACCTGCTTACCATATCACTGTTCCGTATGATTATTAAACTTTAAGCTTATTTTGGTCATTCAATGAAAAAGGAACGATCGAGATCAGGCCCACGGACATTACGACCTTTGCGAGGATGCATCGATACATGGGTACTTCTGATCTTGTCGTCAACCTGGCATGTGAATGCCTACTGAAGATTCAGACTAGTTGCACCACATCAACGGGCCGACAACCAGGTAGAGCAAGGTCTGGACAGAAGCAGCTGTAATAGGTGCTGTATCATGACCTATCACACCTCTTGGTTTGCTCGAGTCTTGTGCAAAGGCGCCTGTAACGATGTGCGGTTGTAAGTGCGTGATTGAGATACCTCTGTCACTTACATATGCTGCTGTGTGTTTTACTTTGTAGTCAATAGCAGCCTGGTATTTTTAGCGCTGCTTATACTACGAGCCTGACATTGAGGATGCCTGGGCTGGTGCAGGCGAAACCTTGACCCATAACCGTGGTTGTTTTGCAGTCCGTTCCGTTCCAAGCCACCAACAGGCGGTCAAGAAAGTTTATCGTTTGACAGACGCCTTACAACGGCGCCTATGGAACACAGACTGCCGAGGAACGCCACTGTTATACTGAACGATCCAAAGTCACTTTGTAGATGCTGATGAGCAACGCCATTGCCCTTTAGTGAAATGATTGGCCTAAAGGATTGCGCAATGAGTTGTGCAAGCATCGATACCGGCCAACTACACGCAAACGGATGTGCAAAGAAATGCTTCACGTGGGCCAGGCCAATTATATCGTGGTCGTGCTTGCATAGTTACACAACTTTTGTGACCTTGTTCTACCTCTTTCCTGTACTTTTGCCCAATGACTCTTACGATAGAGAACTTCAACTTTCGTTTTAAGCCTGGGTGAATTAGTATAATCTGTGAAGCATACACGCCGGCTAACACCGTTGGAACAAATCGTGACACGGAACACTCGTTAGTCCTTGAAGATCTAGGCCGACGTCTCACATTGATGAACGGAGAGCGTTATAGACTGGAAGAATGTGTTAGATGCATGTGGCGTACCCTTCAAGTAGTTTGTGACATTCCAATCCGGTTCAGAATTCCGGTGCCCCTCCCGAGCTTGATGACACCCCCAACAAGGTGTCTGCCATTCATTCCACTTGAATCTGTATCACGACCTCTTCGACGATCTGAGCGGTATACATGTGGCATACCAATGACAAAATTGCATCATTCACTCATACCAGCATTTCCATGGCCAGCGCTGTCTGTGCGCATGAGATAGGACATGATGCCCCAAACCCCTCTCATAGCTTCAGCGCGATCTTCAATGTTGAACAAGTCGAACCATCTTGTTCTCTGTAATTTTGGCGAGCACCAGTCAGATTCCGGTGGCGTTTCAACAGGGTGTCTGCCTTCAGTGATGAGCTCCAGATATGCTGGATGTATGCGAAGCCTTAACAAGCTGATGTGGTGGTTCAATGACGATACCATGAATACCTAGAGTGTCTGATTAGCGAATGGAACCTTGTGAAGCTGTTACATGGAACCCACATCGTCCCACGCGATGGTCCTATCTTTGCCAATCGCCTCGTATGTGACCTTTGGGTCCCAAAGCGGATTTCCGGGTCGCAGTGTCTTCCAGACTTCAGCTGGTGTTGGCCTCCGACGAGCTTTGGACCCGTCTCGATTTCTCTCAACAGGCTTTTCTTCTGGCTTGGAAACTGCGTCCTTTTCAAGGATCTCAGCAACTCCAATAGCCTCACCAACTTCGCCCCCAGGGCCTCCGCCCCAGCGCTCTTTTGTCGTCCACCATTTGCCTTCACCCGCTCTTTGCTCACATTTGCCTTCTCTAGCTCTCTCTTGTGCAAGCAACAGCAGGCCCCCTAACTCTCTTACAGCATCTAGAGTGGACTGGGCTTCTAGTTTTCCGGTTGCTCCAAAGTTAACATCGGCTCGACACTGCATGCCTAGTACAGGACCTTCCAGGCAACCCTGCCTAGCCTTGATTCTGTCTTGAGGGCCGCGCCAAGCTACAGAGCTCATACGGACCGGAAATCGAATGTGCTCGATTGTGAGCACAGGCGGGCGGCGATGTGGAAAGAGTGTCACACCAAAAGCCCATGTAATAGGCTCTAGGAAAGAACGCACGCACTCAATCCGATACTGATCAGGCATCCCAGCCCCATTGCCTATACGATAGCCTCTATAGGTGCCTCGAGGAACGTCGGCTAGCGTGTTCTCGGCCTTTTTGTTAGTGCCTCTTGGGGTTCCAAGCGTATCAACGTTGTTTCGATGTATGCGTTCTGGATGTGCCGATTCATTCGACAGGTCTCTTCCAGAAGCTTTGTCATTTTGGACGTATATCGACTGCTTCTCACCTCTAGTGTCTCCCACCTTTGCCTTCTTTCGAGGCTCTTCTGTGCCAAGCATGCAGGGCTCTGACTTTGGTGCAGATACCCTCTCCGGGTCGGTTTCAGCCGAGGCCTCTTGGGGATTGGTATCAGTGGACCCCGACAGGGGGTTAGAGGCTGTTCGTTCATCACTGTTTGCTCCTTGAGGTGGGGGCAGGTACTCGTCCAAAGATGTGTCCCAATAGTAGGCTAGATTATCAAGTCCTTCCCAGAATTTCCGGAAATGAGCCAGTCGAAGTGGTGGTTGACTTCCACACCCTTTGCGTGTGAGGGTAGAGTAGGCATCGGCGTTATTGAACAACAATTCTCTTGAACGGACAAAAAAGTCACGCTGCTCTGGTGCTTTTCTACCATTGCTCAGAAGTTTGGGGGGAGTGGCAGTATTTGACAGTTGTTCTCCAGGACTGTCAAACCAGGATCTGGGAGGCAAGAACGACTCTGCATTGTTTGACAGGGACGAAAGGAATGTTTCCAGGTCGCTTTCTGGCTGAAACGTGACGTTTAGCAAGGCCAAGGTTTCCTCAGTGACATCGGAGGGCTTCTTCAGTCGCAGAAAATGGTCCTTTATCCTGGCGCCTGGCTGGGACCACGAAGCTGGTGGTGCTTGTGGTGACGGCCCGGGCGGGTGGAGAGCAGGAAACGTGACAGGTGTCGGTTTCGGTGGAGGGGACCTCTGTTTCTGCGTGTCATACTGCCCCGCCAGTAGGTTTCCTATGGAAGAAAGCCCTGTATCAGCGACTATATTGCACGTGCACTACATGTCTCAGACGAAACATGTGTGAAATGTCCAACAAACAGACGAGCGCGCGCAGCACAACTTGCAGTCGGGCATCCGAAGAGGTTCAGAGCGAGTGGGAAACAAGTTGGCGTACACACTGGGCTTGACAAAGTGCTTGGTGTTGTGTCGAGATGAATGGGCAATGCTGTTGGGTGAGGGATATGTGTTTGATGCAAACGGGGCCTCGGCATTCGCCCACGTGAAGCCCCCCTAAAGAAACGGCTGGGAGGGAGGGGAACGCAAATAGACGATACTTACCGCTGAAGGTGAACATGGTGGTGTGCTTGTGCAATTGGGCCTCGGTGGACCCTCGACTCAGGGAGGAGAAGGGCAAGGAGTTGGCAACGTTGAAATGGAGTAGTGGCTGCGGATCCCTAAACCGGACGTGCGCATCAAGGGTACCAGCGTCTCCACATGTGCATGCCACAGACAATGGATGGTGACGGGCATGCAATGGTGATGCATACCAAGCCACCTTGAGGAGTAATGGACCCCGGATCACGGCTTCTGACAGCTGCTATGCTCGTCGTATCCTTGGCTTGGCTACCAGGTACCAGCAAGACTGTGGTGGGCGCTACCTGGCCCCAAGACGGTGGATATGTGAAGGCCGTCCGGTGCGCCTGACTCGGTTGGGCAGGTGCTGGCAACGATGCTTGCAAGCCGAACGGCGACTTGTCTGGAGTAGGCGTGCTATGCCATGGCCGCTTGGGTTGAGCGTGCTGCCGTGGTGGAGGGAGAGAGCTAGTCACGTGCCAGCAGCGGAAGCACAGCCAGTCGCCAGCCGCCGCTTGACCGACTACGCAGCGAGAGGGGCAGGGGCGCCTCTTTCTCTCTGCCCCTCCGCCTCTGCCTCTGCCTCTGCCTCTGCCCCTCCACCGCAATTCTCATCGCCAGCTAACATGGCCATAGCCATTGCCATGGCCGCTATGACGGCTGCCAGCATCTCCCATCATATCGCTAGTCGCTGTGCTGAGACGGCGAGGCTACCGCTGTTCAGGAACTGCGAGGCCTACGGCGCTTCAAGTCCTGTTCGAGGCGCGACATGAAGCCGCCCGCGTTTCAGACAGCTACAAGCGCACCATGGTATACCAACGGTTGACGAGTACCCGGCTGCTTTTCTAATTACTACAACGTTTTCTCTTTGTTCATTATTCGTCCACTACCACATACAGTGACATTCCCCATTTCCCGGGTTAACATGCGCAGAGCGTCCGCGGCGCCTAGTGTTTTTTTCTCTTAATCTCTTTCTTTGCGTCCTTCCCTGCCTGTCTTTCTATGACTTAACGCTCGAATGGCCTCTCCACCAGGCTCGATTACGACCGTCAATGGGAGACGGTGTACGCGTTCTCGTGCCCGGGTCGCAGTCACAACTCCAACAACTTCAGCCGCCGTTGTGACCTCTTCTCAGGCCATAGCCTCCACTTCTACAACCCCTCAGCCAGCGCCGCAGATACAGACGACCACTGCTCAGGCTCCTTCTTCCCCTCCCCCTCCCCCTCCTCCACCATCATCACCACCGCCACCATCATCATTACCACCACCACCACCATCATCACAGCCGCCCTCACCACCGCCACCACCACCATCGCCGCCGGCTCCCTCATCAGCACCATCCCCACCCCCGGAACAGGCACCACAGCAACCACTTACTACTACCACCTCATCCACAGTGGATGCAGTAGCAGGAACATTGTCGACAGGTACGCTTAGTACAGTCCTTACATCATCCTCTGCGCGCGTAGTACCACTTGCTCTTCCGTCTCCAAACTCAGCTTCGGCTGCTCAGGAGCAACCGGTAGCAGCCCTAGCTACGCTTGAAGTGCCCTTGCAAGCTTCTGTAGTGGCACCAGCCCCTACACAAGAATCACAAAACAATCGTCATTCACCATCTGTCACTCCTGACTCCGTACCAACAAACTCTAACCCAACATCAGGAGCTGCTCCTCCATCACCCGTTGAAGTTTCGAACGCACCAGCCAATCCTACTGCGCTGACTGTATCGGGCACTTCAGTCTCTGTGAACACAAATCCAGCAGTTCCTCTGGAGTCCGACACAAGTCCACAGTCATCCATCACTGCATCAACTGTAGGCCAACCACGGGTGACGGGCTCCCCACTTGCAGGGTCTGCGGGAGAGTCTAACGATGGGTCTAATGGAATCATCGGACCAGGTCAGGGATCCTCCAATGATGATGGTCCCTTGACTCTGGATTCCAATGTGAACCTTGCTGGTATTTTGGGCGGTGTTTTTGGAGGCATTGCGGCGCTTGCTCTGATTGTTGGGCTGCTCTTTCTCGTCCTTCGTAAGCGAAGGTTGAAGCCAAGGAGGTGGAATGAAAAGAGGCAAAGTGACTCAAGTTTGCTATCAAGGATCAGGACAATACCGACTGGACTAGGCGCATTTGTTGCAAGGCTGAAAGGAAGCCAAACCGGATCCACCCAAAACCCTTATCAACGACATGTTCCAAAGGCTAGCGCGGACTCAACATATTCAAGAGACTCTAACGGACGGATTCGGTCAAACGGTGAGCCACAAGGTGCATACCCACACAGGCGCGCAAGTTCCAGCGGCAGCATATCAAGCAAGAAGAGCGAGAGGAACCTACTTCGCAAAAAGCCTAGCAGTATATCTGCCTATCGATTTCCTGACATCGCAGAGGATACAGGGACACCGAACCCATTCGCAGACCCACAGCAGATGCGTCCACTTTTGATACTAAACCCGGATCCAAGGAGCACACCCACTACACCCCAAGTCCCCGCAGCTACTGCGGATCCTGAACCAAGAGATCCATTCACATCCGTTTATGATCCACCGCCAGTCGCACCAATGCGGGAGAGAGGTCCAGCTCAAACTCACCAACGCGCAATGAGCTCAATTTCGGGACAGAGCTCGCGTACTACATGGTCTCTTTACCCCACAGCAAATCCGTTTAACGACCCACCTAATGTACCGCCACTACCAAACCAGGCTGTATTGCCACAACATCACCGTCAACGGTCTTCCATGGCGTTGCCAAATTTTAACCCGACTGCTATTTTCGATGCAAACTCAACTTTCGCCACCCGTGATTCCGGCCTGCTTTTCGGAGAACCAGGACCGAGTAGACCTGCAACCAACATTTTCACACCGGTTACGCCTGCTCGTCGAACTATTCGACAGTCTGATCCATTCGATCTTGACCGACCCGAAGTCCTTGGATTCGGTGGCCTCAGCAGGCAACCTACGCGAACCAAACGAAGGAGCAGCGTGAACAATTGGTACAGCACTGCTGGAAACGGTGCTTCCAATGCTCCGCCGTTACCGACAGACAGCACAAGACCCTCGTGGGGTCCGAATTCAGGGAGATGACGACAAATATTGAGATTTCCAGTACAAACCGATGACTTGTCGCACTGCTGTTAAGATACGCGCAAAAACGTAATACCTCATTAGCAGATATACGCTCGATGATCACTTTCTTTTCAACCGATGGCAGGAAGTATTCCGCGGGTTCCATCACAACCTTCATTTCTGATTTGTTCATGTTTCTACCCACGATCATTGTCATCATGACGACCTGCATAGCGAGCATTTACCTGTAACATATACTGTCCCGATATCCTATATTTTTTGTAGCGCAAAAATACCCCCTATTTACCCCCGAATTGAAATCAAAGATATCAATGTACGATACATGCAAGAACAAACAAGCAAAAAGCCTGTTCCATTTGATACCTCACTCTCCCATTCCCCCGCCTGTCCCCTTTCTTACTGCGTGTAATCATACGATGTCAGCGATAACTTGGCGAAAGCCGCCAAGGTATGGCCTCAATCTGAGGCAATGTGGTGAAACGCTAGACAAGAGTTTTTGCGGCGCGGATTTGTCAGGCTGGATGCGGTTGATCTGCGCCCGTAGGGCTAGCGCTGCTTCATGTAGGAGGTGCTTGCATAGCATCGCTTTATGCCACACCAACAAGGCAGGTATGTCGTTAATAGAAAAATGTTTGTGCAAAGTCTTGTCATCCTGGCGTGGCATACACACGACCCAGAGCCAAGATCCAAGAACCCCTAAGAGGCGTCACGACACGATGGAGCAAAGTCTATGCCTCAGACAATAGAGCTGATGCAAGGTACACACGAGAGGAGTTTTGAATAGCGATAAATAATGGGGGTATTTGGGTGCTGTGGCTGCCTACATGTGAGGTTGTGTTATGGGGAATATTATCTTATTGCAATGCAACATATGTATATACCACCCAAAATTAAACTTAAAGAAAGTAAATAGAAGAAAAGAACAAAATTAACAAATCGCTGATAAATGAAACAAGAGAGAAAATTGTAAACAAAGGAAATGAGGGAAAGAGAAAGTCGCCGTAGTTCGTCGGTGTTGTGTATGATCATCTCCCGCCTCCCGCCTCCTTCCCTTCATCTCCCGCCTCCCCCCCTCCCCCGCGCGCGCATCAAAACCCGAGAACCCCAACTTTACTAGCTTTAGCCTAGTTTGAAAAAAAAGAAGGGGGGCCTTAAGCATGAAAAAAAATGCGCCTCTTTTAATGGCGTTTTTTTCTTTCAATGGTTGCTAATCTATCTCACATCCACTTCTCCGCATCCCCAAACGGCGGATAGACGAGTCCCGCTCCCCCACTCTTTCGCCTTACCCACTTGCCTTTGGTCGCGCCGCCTCCCGCATTGCTGCTGCTGCTACCGCCGACGGTGCTACTGACGCAATCCCAGTCCCAAGGGACCTGGCGGCCTAGCACCTGGTAGCCTGCTACTCGGCGGAGGTTATTTCTGGGGCGCCGCTGCTGCGGCTGGTTGCTGCTGGTTGCGGTGCTGGTGCGCAGCGCTATGCGGGTTGTTTCGCGGACGGTGCTGGGGCTGGGCCCGCGGGCCCGGGGAGAGGTGGGCTGAATGATTTGTGTGTGGTAGATTGGGTCGCGGGGGATGCTGGGGGGGATGAGGGGCGAGGTGTCTGCTGGGGCTGTTGAAGGAGGGGGAGAGGAGGAAGGGGAGCAAGAGGGTGGTGGAGGGTGTGCTGGTTCTGGTTCTGGTTCTGGTGGAGGACATGTTGAAGGCGGTGGAGGCGGACATGGCGATGGGATTGATCGTTTTCGCCCTTGACCTCGTAGCTTGGGGTCCCAGGTCTCAGACATGTCGAGGCTGCCACGGTAGTGCTGGTGGCCTAGACCTAGGCTAACGCCGAGATGGTGCTCGCCGTGTATAGGGTGCATGTGTAGTGGATGGAGATGCGGGTGTCGGTGGTGATGCTGCAAGTGAGGATAGACATGTGCGTGAGTATGTTTCTCGTCTACCTCGACGTCCACACTAGGTGCCTTGATACGCACGTTGGTTAAGCGTGGAGACGCCGGGTTATGATGTACGCGAACGATGTCCTCCACACAAGAGGAATCCGAGGTAGGCTGGTAGCCTTTCTTTTTGCCCCTGGACGGGGTGAGGGTGACCCAACACATTGTTGCTACAGTGACGGGGTGCAGTGATATCGACCCCGGAGTCGATCCGTGGGAGAGGGTGTAGACGTGCGGGTGGTGCGAGGCGGTGATATGCAGTTTGTGAAAAAGCTGGAATGTGTGATGACGGGGGGCGAGAAGGGTGATAATATGGATAAGGCGTTGGATGGCGAGGACGGTGCATTCAGAAGACTTGGAAGAAGAATTGTCAACAATAAGGGAAGTACCTGGTTTACTTATTCTAAGACTGGCACACGACCTGTTCTGTACATATGATCATATCCACCTTCTCTCACCAACTCCTCTCTCTTGATTTGGCGTCCTTTCTTCTGTGTGTATATACTTACTATCATGACTGTTGTGCCGTAAATAGTCACCCGCTAGCCCCATGGCGCATGCGCGAGACGGTGCTACCACGCGCCTGGCTCGTCTGAAAGCAAGGCAGGGTTCGAATAAGACATATGTGGGCAAAAGCAGTGCCTGCATGATTAGTGACGGTGCCTGCATACGGGTAGATGCAAACATGTGTTCTAGTGTGGCGGGCGAGTGACAGAAGAGGTGAGGTCGGAAAATGTGCGCGTGGGTTGCCGCCATTGTCTTGGATGACCTCGAGTTTCAATCGGACGGGCATGTGACGGTTCAGCCACAGCATTTGTTTGTTGCGCCTTGCGGCGGAGGACCCTGTGGATCCTGGTGACGTATATGGCAGGATTTGACTTAGTAAATAAGTCGTTGGCTTTGTCCTTCTTTACAGGTGAGCTCGCGCTGCGGTAGTACGTCGGCGTGTAGTGCAGTACGCGTGCCTCTGGTGCGATGAGTGTCGTCATAGCAACTACGTCCTTCTTCCTTCTCTTTAGTTTTGCAAGACACAGTATTGTCCATGTGAGCTGTATGATATCGTAAAAAACAAGTCTTCTGCGTCATGGGTGCCTACACTGGCAGAAACGGGCGTAACCATGTGGATGACATCGGACCGGCTTAAAAGACAGGCTGAAGATAGGTGAGTGATGGCTATGTACAGATGTATCCAGTGACACAGGCGATGCGAAAACGATACCGAAACTATACAGCCCACAGTGCTTCTGGTATTGAAGACGGTGCGATGAGGTGGGTGGTGAAGGCAACAGCTAGGACGCGGCTGGCCTTGGCATTCCCGACAACGCCGGAGCTTGGAGCTCACATCACCACTCCAAACAGCCTAACACCACCCCACTGCGACTTCTCGATCACATTTTCGATACCCTTTGATAGTCGTCAGTTTACACAGTCGCCACAGCCATGGACTCATTAGTGTCGCAGTATAGCCGACCGGCCTACACGGAGGAGGGCCCGTCCGAGGAGGAGCAGCTGCAGCTCTACAGCGGCGCCCCAGAGCTATCCCTCAAGTTTGCCCTTCCACCCGTCGCTCAGGTGTGCTCTACACCCCTAGACCAATTCCAAAAAGTGCATGTTTACTGACAGTGATATAGTCAGCATCATGGCTCCGCGCAATGACGGACGACTACTCCAATCCCAACTGCCCCATCAAGATCGCCCACGGTACCACAACCCTTGCTTTCCGCTTCAAGGGAGGCATCATTGTAGCCACCGATTCGCGTGCCACGGCTGGAAACTGGATAGCGAGTCAGACAGTCAAGAAAGTTATTGAGATCAACAGCTGCTTGCTGGGAACCATGGCTGGTGGCGCTGCTGTACGTACTTTATCATATCAAGGCGATGGTGCGGGACAGGCTGTAATCTGACGTGTTGTAGGACTGCCAATACTGGCTCGCATACCTTGGAATGCAATGCCGTCTCCATGAACTGCGGCACAAGCGCCGCATCTCTGTCGCCGCGGCATCTAAGATCTTGGCCAACTTGGTCTACTCATACAAGGGCATGGGCCTGAGTATGGTGAGTTACTCTGCACTCCTCTTTTACCCAATCCTAACAATCATCCACAGGGAACCATGTGTGCCGGTGTGACCCCGCAGGAAGGCCCTGCCCTCTACTACATCGACAGTGATGGCACACGTCTAGCCGGCAACCTCTTCTGTGTCGGTTCCGGTCAGACATTCGCATACGGTGTGCTCGACGCACAATACAAGTACGACCTTGAGGATGACGAGGCGCTCGAACTGGGCCGAAGGAGTATCCTTGCTGCTACTCACCGAGATGCATACTCTGGAGGTTTCATCAACTTGTACCACGTCAAGGAAGACGGATGGGTCAAGCATGGATTCAATGACACGAACCCCATCTTCTGGGAGACTAAGCTCAAGAAGGGCGAGTTCTCCAACGTTACGAGCGCGTTGGACTAGGAGCATCTTGGCCGCAGTAACTATCTTGTCTCTAGGCCATGGCAGTCACGGCAGAAATCCAACTTCCGCCATCGATCAGTTGCCACGTATCCACTATACCAGTCATGAAATAGACACGTCCAATGAAATGAACAACTTGAACATGTATACAAGCGAGTCACTTTGACCAAGGCACAGCATATCTTTTGTTCTCAATCTTTTGTTTTTTTGTTGCTAGACATCTTCATTACTAATCTGGCAGTGGAAAAGAAGCATTTCTATACCCGCGACTAAAGCATTTAAACCAAAGAAACGCAGCATAGTCCTCATATGCTGGTTTCAAGAAACTCATCGAAAACGATGTGTGAAAAACGCCTGCCAACCCCCACGCACATGCCCATACAAAGATGATGAAAAAAAGAAGAAAAGCCAAGGTGTGCAAAGTACACTCTCCCAGTGACAATTGGGTATAAGCAAAAGAAAAAGAAAAACAAAACCTTTGAGACTTAAACACAAAAAAACAAGAAAAATCCATAATAAGTAGGAATCCAGATGCTACCCAATATAATAGAATGAAAGAAAGTACGCCAGGTGAAGCCGACCCGCTTTTGATTCTTTCTTGCACTCTCTCCTTTTTTTTTCTCGTCGTCCTGCTTAGCTATGAAAATGTGAAGAAGAAAGAGAGAGAGAGAGGCAGAGGCAAGGTTACCAACCTAATGTGTGGGTTTTGTGCAGAGCAGAGCACAAATATACAGTGTAATACAGAAAAAGACGAAAAGAAAAGAAAGGAACCCGTCAGAATGTACGGCCAATCTCGACATAGTCAACATCACCGACTTCGCCTTCTCAAGCCCAGGTCTTCTTGCTGGAGCTGCTTGATGAGATCGAAACTCGCTTGGTCTAGATTGGGATCAATCATGTTCAGCATGCCCATATTCATGCCCATGCCTGTACCCATACTCATGCCGTTTTCAAGCTTGATGCCGTTGCCGCTATTTTCATGTTTCTTGCTGCCTGGTGTCGATTTTGGTGTCTTGCTGTTTCGACCACCCCGTGAGGGCGTGTGGCTTGATTTGCGGGCTGAAGATTGCTGCTGGGCACGGGCTGCCTTGTATGCGTTGACAGTTGGCGTGACAGGTGGGGGAGGGAAGTCGGAGTTTGTGGTGAAATTGTTGTAATTGTTTGTGGCGGGCGAGGTTATGTACGGATTGTAGCCATTGGCTGTCGGTGAGGCGGCTGAGACCGGTGATGACAGATGGCGAACCGCATGAGGCTCGGCCGCAGATTTTGATGTGAAGCCATTTGTCTGTGTGTGCGTAGTTTCGTTGTGAGGTACTGGACCAGGCGTGAGTGCTTCGACACTGGGACCATGAGGTTCGCCACTGTGCTGTATAAACTCGACACCGTTCATAGGCATGGATTCAGCGGGTTGGTATTCGACAGACGACATGACCGTATCTCCATTGCCGTGGTACGAGGTCACTGCATTCATATTGCTGTAGTCCCCATTCGTGTATGCTTGTAAAGCAGGATCAACAGGTACGAGTTCATCGTTTTCGGGTGTCTGATCCAACGCTTGTTGAGCTGAGTAGGCGATATCCTGGAGAAAAGATGAGCCACCGTTGAATTGACTAGGCATGGAGTGCCGTGCATGCATGTCTCCGTTCATGTACTCTTCATCATATGATGATGCGTGTCTCATTCGCTTCGCCGTTGATGCTGAGCCTTCGTCACTAACCCGTCGTTTCTTGGACGCGGAACCCCTTGGGATGGGGATCTCATTGGCTTTGATCGGGTCAACGTTGCCGTATTCATCATGTATGCAACGACGCTATATTCATCAGTTGTGTGTAGTGTATTGGTTTGACGAGCCTTACCTTGCTCTTCCGACAGTCAGCACAAGCCTTCACTCTGCCGGACTTGAGTGCATATGGATCTCCATTTACGTCTGCCATGATAGGACCACCATTTACAGGACCATTGGGGGCGTTGGAAAGACTATCTGCGATGGAGTGGTCGCTCAGACGACGTTTGACCGAGATGCCATAAGATCCCGAAAGATCGATAGTGTGCATTCCGGGCTTTGACGTATCAATAAGTTCGTCCTTGTGTTTGCATCGTATCCGCCGCTTCCTGCAAGCATCACACGCAACACGCTTGGGTCCGAGCTGAGAAGTTTTTGGCGTTGTGATGTGCGGATTGTTTGCGGATGGGCGTAGAAAACCCGTCAGTGGGCCAGAAGTGACTGGTACCATGTCACAATTGTTGAAGCTCTCCATCTCCACAGGAGGAGAAGGCTCTGGAACCACGTCAGAGGCTTTGATCCGAGCTGAAGACCTTTCTGCTGTTGCTCGTAGGGCTTCATGAAGCGTCTCCCGCTCCAGTCTCTTGACTTGAGCAGCGCTAAGCTTCTTCTCTGTAGTTTCAGTTACCTCAGGAAGTATAGCATCAGAGAAAGCCCATGGAGGTATTGTCTCGTTTCCACGTTTCCAGGCAATCCACATGGCAAATCGCCGTGCTAGCGCAAGTGGTTCGCCATGACCTTTGGGTATCGATTTGTTGACTGCACTTCGAGTCTTTTGTGGTACCTCAATCTTTCCCTCTGTAATGAGAACGGTCCTCCAAATGTAGTTAAGAAGATCAGTAAGGCCTTCCAGCTCATGCTTAGGGTAGTATCGTCGGTTGTAATTTTGTGCACCAAGATGTGAGTTGTGTCCGAATCTATCAGGCTCGCAGTAGATGGGTGTGGATCGTTTGAACTGCTCGCCGCTTTGTAGGAGTTCTTGGACAGGACCAGGAACGGGGTCCTCTTCTAGGTATTTGATGACGGTCAACCACATAATCTTCTGGAAGAAAGGGTACCGAAACTGCAAAGCGACCTTGGTGTTCTTCTCAATTTCCAGAATCTTGATCTGCATGCCGTAGTGTATGCGAGTGAGGAAATTGCCTCCAATAACAAGACTGTCTTCAGGCGTCCAGACCGCATGGATCCAGCCCGAGGGGATCAACATCGTGTCTCCTGGGTACAGGTCAACACGGTAGCACTCCTTGACCTGCTTGCCGAGCCAGTCGTGGCCTTGATTAGGCGAGAGACACCAATCTTCGTACTTTTTGAGATTTTGCTTGGTTGGTGGAATGAAGAAGAAGACCTTTTTTCCCTTAACGATGTGATAGTATACTGAAGAACCGCCAAAGTCGATGTGAAAGTCGGTAAAGCAGTCTGCAACAGACATTAGGCAGTAGAACTGCACTGGCGGTGGAGCGGCCTTGTCATCTTCCCGCCACACGGAGTCTTGCAGGTCCATATCCCGGACGGCTTTAGGTCGTCGGATTAGCTTTCCAAGTCGACTTCGAGAAACCTCGAGGCTTATAACGTTCCGCACAGGTTTCTCTCCTTGCTGCTCGTAGTAGTCTGCCCATTTTCCCATGGTCCACTTCTTGCCCTCGCCTTCCTGAGCCTTGACATCAATTACTGGCACAGGCTCGTTTGGACCATAGAGTTCTGCGACGCGACGAACAGTCAATCCCTTAGGAATAATCATATCGAGACTGTCCTGACCATCGTCTGCAACTGTTTCATATTCAAAGTATGATGCGAGCTCATCCTTTTGTTCATCGGTATCTTCGGTTCGTAGTCCTCGTGGGGGGTTCATATCGCCAGGAATGACAATTGGTTCTTTGAATCCATTCATCTTTTCAAGAAAGTCACCGGTAATGAGCTGTGCCGGCACGCGCGCAAATGTCTCGGGCGTGAACTCAATATCACCGTTCTTGAATGCTGCAATATAGTGGTGTTCTGGGTTATCGTCTGACGTCTTGAGCACGCCTTCGTTTAGACCAGCGTAGTCAACAGTGGTGTGGGCTCTGACGGATTTACGAACCTCTGGACCATGTTAGAACTATAAGCCCAATGTGCGTCGGTAGACCTACTCGTTGTTTCACCAAACTTGGGTCTACACGGCTCGCAGTAGAATTTATTTACCTCCCGGACCTCTCGCTCGCTGTTGAACCCCGCGCAGGGGTAGTGGTACCACTCTTTGCAGCCGTCGCACCCTATCCATTGTTCGCCGTCGCCAACTTTGACCACCGACTCGGAAGACTTGCACGAAGCGCAGATGAGTTCGGGTTCGACTGGGGCATTTGCAGGCTCAGCAGGTGCATCGACAGAAGCAGGCGCAGCCGGTTGTGAACCAAGAGGAAGTGACTTGGCGCGTGAAGAGGCTGAGAGCGGTGGCTCGATCGGGCTCGGTAAAGTGGATGTGGAGAAGGAATGACGGCGGGCTTGTGTGGGGGAGGGCTGCGCGGGTTCGGCAAGCTCTGCTGGAGGTGCAGAGTTCTCGACTGGAACTGCGACAGGCTGCTCAGCATGCAGGCTCGGAGGCGATTGAGTCTGTTCTGCAGGGCCGGTAGCACCTGCAGAAGATGCACCCTTTGGCTTGGGCGTCCTCTTTCGTTTGCTACCTGTCGCGCTAGCGCTACTGCGACCGCCTCGTGCCTTCCCTTTGGGCCAACCCTGTTGTTTTTTTGCCTTGGGCTCTTCTGCAGGAACGGGGCCTTGTATTTCAGGCTGTGCGACTGGGTTGGATGCTTCATCGGTCGGTGGGTGGATCTGCGTAGATGGAGCCGTCTGGGCTGCGTGTGGCGGCTGTCCTAAAGGGTGCTTCGCATCTATGAGGGGTTGCGTGTGCTGATGGTAATGATCGATAGACGGCGGCTGCGGCGCTGTGAATGGGCTTGGAGGCTCACCCAGTTGCTGGATTTGTCTTGGGGAGTGTTCCATCGGCGCTGTATGTGAGATGCTCCACCGCTTTGCTACTGAAGGTGGTGAATGTGCAGTCTGGGTAGAAACATTGAAAAAATCCAGCAAAAGCTGTGCATCAGAAAGCCGGTCGTTAGGTTCGCCGGGGGGTTGGTATATGCGGCTGCCATTGTCCACCATGTGCTCGACATTGTAGGACCAGCCCGGAATGTGGCTCGTGGCTGGTCTTGACTGCGACTGGTCATACTGCGGAGAGCCGTATACTTCAGAACGCGCTCTCTTTGCGGGCCGCTCGTTGAAGGGATATGCATGTTCTCTGGGGAAGGCGTGTGCTGGGGCGCGTTCGGCGATCGGATAAGGGAGGGTCGTGGGCGATGCCGCTGGGTATGCAGGATGGCGCGACAGCTCAACAAATGGCCGACTGGTATGCTGCGACGTCACAGCGACATCTGCGAGAGCCTCAATGGGCGATGCCTGCGCCAGAGAATATGGCGTTGCCGGCTGCGGAGGAGCAGCCGAAGGAGGCACAGATCGCGAGGATGGGTCATACGTCACCGCCGGCGACGCCAGCCTCCCTGACGCGCGCGTACTCTGCCCGAGAGTAGGCGTTTGTATGTGAGCAGTATGAGTGTGTGCGCCCGGTGGCAGCGACGCTGTTGGGATATTCGCTTTGCCGGCGGGGTGCGCTGATGAGAGCTCGGTCGGCGGCAGCGTGGGCGACAGCGGCTCGTAGACAGGCGGCGGAGGGGTAGCAGCACGCGCCGAAGCTCGCCTGTACTGCTCCTTGAAGGACGAGATTCGTCTCATGGCCGTGGTGGTTGCGGATGTGGGTCGATGGGGGCTTCGGGGGTGCGAGGGACTCGGTCTGGCGTCTCAGGATGCGCGGCTATGGAGCAGTGGCAGGGCAGACTGAGAGGCAGGCAGAGACGTAGATGGGCGCGAGCATATCCTGAATTGAAGCGACAGCTGCGCGGCGCAGGGTGAGCGAGCGTCGAGGTTGAGGTGGTGGAGGGTGGTAGTGGTGGAGATGTCGCGGGGAATTGTATTGGGAATGTTGCGGCCGGAGACCAGGGCGATCACCGTCGACCATGCGACTGGGGCGACCAACGCAAAGAGATGCCCAGCAGCGTCGCAGGAGGAATATGGCAAAGAAGCAGCGCCGTCTCCGCACGAAGCTCGTTCAAGTCTGTATGTACTTGGACGGCGCGCAAGCGGTTGGGGGAGTGAGCTATGGAGCGCTGAGCCGCTTCATTCGCTGCAAGCCCGCATCTCCGATTCGAGCGCTCGATTCTTTGACAACAGCTGCGAGAGGGGCCCTACCACTGTCTGGCCTGCCGCTCTAGACCCTCTTTTCCTGTCTGGCTCATACAGCAGCCTTTTTTACAATGCAGTACACGTATATATTCATCCATACGACGACGGTGGGTATGCGCCTCCCTTGCTGCACCGCGGCGGCCACTCCTGGCTCAGATGCCCTCATCACGTGCATGCACGCGCTCGGACCCTTAGTCGCCATTCATGCATCGATCCCGCATGTTCACCATCGACACCTTCTCTCCCAACTCCCCACCACCACCACCCGCCCGCTGCTCTCCCAATAACCAGCCAGTTCTTTACCGTCCATAACCGTCGCCAAAGTATGAGTCGAGGAGGAAAATTGGCCCCGGAAGTCAACCGGTACGTTCGTCCGTCTCCGCATCGCGTGCGCCAGCCAAGGCTGCACCAGCCAACTCACACGACATTTGCGCTAACATGTCATTTGTACAGAGCTCTTTTCGTAAAGAACCTGAGGTTGATATATCCATCCCCTGCTTGTGTGGCTGTGCGCTAACCCCATGGCAGCTTCAACGTTACCCCAGAGGAACTCTTCGATCTCTTTGGCAAGTTCGGCCCTGTGCGGTACGTCGTCCTCTCCTCGCCATATGCACGCGCATATAGCTTTTGTCGTCACATTACATCACTAACGCTGAACTCCAGCCAAATCCGCCAGGGTATCGCCAACCACAGCAAGGGCACCGCCTTCGTCGTCTATGAGGACGTGATGGACGCAAAATCGGCTTGCGACAAGCTCAACGGCTTCAACTTTCAGAACCGGTATCTCGTCGGTGCGTCCCGCAACCTGTCGCCCACCCGTTTCCGCGCTCGCTACTAACTGCCGCAGTATTATATCACCAGCCAGATAAGATGCTCAAAGCTGCGAATGATCTTGCCGAACGCCAAGAAAACTTAGAAAAACTCAAAAAACAGCATGGTATTGATTAGGGGTGCGAGAGGCCTCAGGAACAGGTGATATCGCACGAGCAAAGTCAAGACAAGACTCCTGTGGGCCTCAAGACCGATAGCGTAATCTCTAACCGATCTTCGAGTCGCGGCGGCGAACCGCGCTTCTCGATGACGAGAACGACGACCAATTCGACATTAGCGGAAAAACCCGACACTCCTTTCACGCCTCCCTCGGCCACCGCCTGCCGCAACGGAGACTGGCGCGCTCTAAAACAATCGTTGAAGGGCCTATGGAAGTCGGCGCATGGCGTAAAGAGGTCATGATATGTTTACGAACCATGGCAAAGAAAGATTGCTATATTTTCTTTAAGAGTGTGGAGAGATATCTATTAGGTCGGGGATTAGCTAGGTCAGAGAGGATTAAGGCCGAGTCGAGTCGAGTTTTAGATTGTAATACGGCCTCAGCTTTCCTCTTTCTCTTTCTCTCTCTCTTTTCTTTTCTCTAAACATATCACACGGTCGGCAAGCTTTTTTTTCAAGCGCCCGAGTCTGAATCAAGGAATTCTCTTCTTTCTTTGCAAATCTGTGTTAAACTCATTCTCAACTTGTGAAGCCTTGTTTTTTTTTATCGGAATCCGGCAGTCATAACCGTTTTGGCTGGTTTGACGCTTGGTTTAGTCTGCCTTGGCTGACACCTGTCGATCGACAAGTCTGCCTTCTTTCCGCTCATTTCCGCCTCGCCACAGCCGTTTGATATAGGCGCTAGCTTGCGGCTATTTGGCCGAGAGGAGCCTCTTGTGTCGTTTCTTGGATTGTCTGACCAAGCCCCTTTTTTGGCTAAAGTTGCTTATGTAAATGTCCAACTGTGCTGCTTGGATTAATGAGCGCTGTGATTACCTCGGTACAATCGCGGGTATCTGTCTCACTGATCTTTTGGATGCAGTATGTGCGTTGTGTGACTGTGATGGCTTGGAGAGGGGGGGGGGGGTGAGATGTACAGTGACGTTTACGCGTGTTACTATGTAGATTGGCGCTGCTTTTAGTGGTTGATTACTGTGCTCGTATTGCTTCATTTTGCCCATAGACATATGCATGTGAGGACTTTGCTTCGGTGCTGACGGGAGGAATTTTTGGGAGGTGTAGGCGATGACACGTGCATTGCTGTAGGTTTGATGTGGCTCTGCTCTGTGTCGTTTGTAATGGAACGGCGATGTTAATGTCTCTTCTGGTGATCGACTTGACACTTTGTAAGGGACTGGACATAGCATTATCGAGTGTCTTAACCATTCCCATTTTCAAGACTGTTGACTTTTTTCGGTTCAAGTCTTCGCTATCAACTTACACATGTAGAATCGCTGGCTAATATTCTCCCGCAACAACAGCATATATTTCATAATCGTCTCTGTACGACATTACCACTTTATCGCAAAAGAAACCTTCCCGATTCAATCCCACATAACCCAACGCCATCACTCAGATTAATCTTTCAACCTTCCTCATTAAACCCTACTATACTCTCACCCTGCCACCCTCATACCCACCGCCTCCACCACCCCAACAACAAAACACCCCCAACCAACCAAATCTACACTCCCCATCCTAACCCCATGCCACCCCCTCCACTCCCCCAACCACTCCTCTGCCCTCCCCTCTCCCTCCCCCCGATCACACAACCCCACCAAAGCCTTCACGCTCCTCCCCACAAGCGGCACAAACGCATAATGCGCTACCGTCGCCAACGCGCCGATTTGGTACCAGCGCCTCGCCACGCTTCCTCGCGTTGTAAAAGAAGGATGAAGGAGGTAGATATTCGCGAGTGAGAAAGATAAAGTAAGCGTGTTTAGTCCCATGACAGAATAGATGCCTGTGTGGAAGAATGTGGTGAACCAGGCTGGAATTGCGAGTTGGTTTGCTTCTTTTAGCTGGTTCGTGGCGTCTTCTTTCTCATGAAGGTGGGTTTCAGGGTCGGGATCTGTGGGTGGGGATGGGAAGGGGGAGGGAGAGGCGAGGATTGCTTTGCTGAGTCTGGAGGAGAGGGGTGGCGGGTTGAGGAAGGCGCTGGTGGTTAGGTATTCCATGTAGGCGTGGGTGAGGGATGCGGTGGAGGTGATGAGGGGGGCAAGAGTTAAGGCTGTGAGGAGGGGTGATGTGAGAGTTTTTGGGAGACCTATTAGTGTAGTCGTCATGGTTGGGATACGTTTCTTTTGGGGGATATCAAGGTGTAGGTGTACACCAAGGCTGACAATAATGTTGTGGATTGTAGTATGCCTGGAGGTTTATTGCAGTTGTCGTGGGAGAAGTGGAGAGAGAAATAAGACGCATAAATACATTTCATGTCACAGTGGTGTGATATATTCTTGGTCGGCAATCGTCAGAATCCTTATTCTGATGCTGCGGCCTGGCTGGTGGCCTAATGGTGAAGTCAATTGAGCTGGTGGTTGAAGAAAAACAAACTGTGCAATGAAGGGTATCATGATATATTGAAATAACCATTTACTTGAACATTAGAAGATGCTACGCTTTTTGCCAGTCACCAAAAACGCCTATGAAATGCAAACTCCATCATCGTGCGAAACCAACTATCCTTCCACATGTGATATCAAAGCAACATCTACCATCCTCGCCTCTTGCCCCTTTCCTCGGCACTCCTCTCCTTCCTCTTGATTCTCTTGACATCATGTCTCCTACGTTTGTCCTTGCCAAACTTCTCCGGATCAACAATCGCCTCTACCTTTCTCTTTCTGCGTCTTTCTTCCCTCCTTTCTCTGACACCTTTCTGTACTTCTCCCATAATCTTCAAATACTCTTGTGTTCCAAGGCGCTTCTGCAAGTTGTTCATGACTTCACGAGCTTTGTCGGCAAGGGCCTTGTATGGATCATTGACCGTGTTGTTAGGACCGGTTTGTGCAGCGGACCGAGGAAAGGTTGCGGTGGTATCGGTGAGGGTGGATAGAGTGGTCAGGAGGTGCGGTAGAGAGGTGGAAAGAGGTTCGAGAGGAAATTTAGCGGCGATAGTGTCGAAAAGGTTCATGATTGCGGTCTTGGCGTTCATGGTGCTCTTGTCTTTTCGAACGATGCCCGAAAGGCGGATCATGAGGCGGTGGATTGCTGTTGGTGGAGTGTCTCCCGTCTTCTTGGGCTTGCTGTTCTCTGGAGGGGGCGAGAAACCATCAAAGTCCTCATCTTCTGTAGCGGCTGCATCACCGGTGGCCGCAATAGCAGACTCTTCTATCTCCTCGTCCTCGTCGGCCTTCTGCCACTGCCACTTCGCTCCGTTGACAGCAAGGCATCGCGCGATGAAGGCAATATTCTTTACACTTTGCAGGCAAAGCTGTTCTGAGACTTCTGGGTTCAACAAATTTCGCAAGAAAGCGTTGCACAGCTGCGTCATGTTCTGCTCAGCCAGCTGTAGACCGCCAGATCCCTTCAGTGGCAGTGCCCCAAGGCCTGAATCCTTGTTTGAAATTCCAAGGTGGGCAAAGTAGGTGCCCAGCAGCTCTGCAGCTTTGAGCTTGACCCACATGTGCGGGTAGGTAGCGCTGGCTTGGACTGCGGTCCACAAACCATCCTTGCTTGACGAGAACATGGTGTCTGTGTATTTCTTGCAAACTTTTGAGAGCAGGGTGAGGGAATAGTACAAGAGCTCCCAATCGTCTTCATGGCGTCGGCTCAAACATTCGCCGATTGTTGCGTCAAGTCGATCGAGAACGTATGCAAGTTCTTTTGGCTCTTCGTCGTCTTCCATAGCTTCAAAATAGAAGCCCCAAACCTGGATTCCAAGACGCTTCAAGCCAAGATTGTCATCTTGCTCCAGCCAACTCTTAAGATCTGTGGCGAAGCTTTGTAGTCGCTTGTCACTGGCATGCTGGAACAATCTCTTGATTAACAAACTGGCCATTTCTCGGCATTTACCCGAATCGTCATTTGCCACAGTGTTGATCAGTGGCAGGAACATGATACCGTGGTATTCATATTGCGCCTTCTCAGGGAACCGAGGTAGCGCCTTTCCAATGATAAGATCCAGGGCTTCCATGACTGATTGTCTGCCTTCCATATGCTCGTATCGAAGGTTTTTGAGTAGGAACTCCATCTGCTTCTTGAAGCGCTTCTCGCTCTGGGTGTATGACGTCAGGAACTGGAAGAAGTGGCTGCGAGCAATATCGCGGGCAGATTTCGTCTGGTTGGTAATCATCATCTCTGCTACTTTGTCCATGGCTTCATAAATCTCTGGGATGTCAAAATGTCGGTTCATGACAGCTTTGAGGAAGCCGAATATGACACCTGAGCGATCAGGCTCATCCAAATCCGGCATCATGCGCTTGAGAAGATGTCCCACATCTCGTTCCCTCACCTGAACGTTGGACCGCTCACGTAACATAGCAGAGACCAGCTTTAGAGAGGCCTGGGCAAGCTCAGTATTGGACGATGGCGCACCCTTGATGGCTCGCATTGCTTCATCAATGTATACAGGGCAGTTTGCGTCCAGCTCAGGCATCGGCACCTTGATGATGGTCGTGAGGAGGCGAACAGCTGATACGTGCACTTCTTCTTGTCCTTGTACCATTGCATCGCCGATAATTGGTAAGAAACCGGCCAAGTTCTGTGGCGTCTGGAGGTCTTCATGCTTGCGCAGCACAGTACGAAGGATATCCATGCCAAAACGAATCATCTTGTACAGATACGAAGAAGTGCTGAGTCTTGCTCCAGACTTGGCAGCCCCCTTGTTGTTGACCAGATATCTCTTGCTTTTAGGGTCAATCTTGGCCTTCTTGTCAGTCGGCGTGTTTGCTGCATATGCCTCTTGAATAAGCTCGTAACAGAATACCAAGATATCCCTGTTGTTGACAGTGGGGTTTTGTAGTACACCGAGCCCGATGCGTCGCAGTAGCTCATCAATCTTCTGCACCATCCTTGCGTTAAGCTTTTCGATCAAAAGGGACCTGATCGGAAGTACGAGCTTGATGAGATGGGAGGGAGTGGCAGATCGTGCGATAATGTCCATGGAATCGAAGCTTTTACTGCTCTTCACTTCCTTCATCTTGGAAATATACTCTTCAGCATCCTTCTCCTGACCAGCAGCGCCAAAAGTATCATCCATGATCTAGACCTCGTTAGTATACTTGTCTGACAATATCTCACAATCTGACACTTACCACATCCACTAGATCTGTGAGACAATAGTCGAGATCTCCTGGGTTCGTCTGGTCTGCGAGCTTCACCAGGATAGTGTGCAAAGTGTAGGAAAGAACATGGAGCTGATAGCCTCTTTGGAGAGCTGTTCGCAATGCCTTGAGAATGAAACCTAAGTAAGCCGGTCCCATGAGTGTAGCAATGTCGCTGAGCGTATTTCTCGACATGTCACGAGCTTCCTGGGCACGACTCTTGAGAATGTAACAGATATCCAAAAGGACACCAGGCAGTCGTGTCTCCATTTCCAGTGGAGGAAGCACGAGAAGAACTTTGGCAATTGCGACGGCGATAGGTACTCGTAAACTGACTGTCGCTTCGTCTTTTTTGTGTAGAAAATTGGTCAAATCAGGAAGAAAGTTGCTGATCATGTCAGTGCTCAGTTTTTCCTGATGAGGAAGAGTCTTTGTGAGTATGGACTGAGGTTTGTCAATGTCCATAGCCGCAGGGTCATCGTTGGTCTCGGGAGTGGCTGGGTCATCAGATCCGGCCGTGGACGTGGCAACATAGCCCTTGGCCCGACCTGCTTGGTTAAGTCCATCCATCAGGCCTGCAATCAATCTAATGATGGGCTTTTGAAGATCTTCTTTGGTGGCTAGATAACCAATATACCGCTTCAAGAGAGAGCGGAATTGTGGCCATTCCAGACACTCTGTCAACGCCGTGATCGTCTTGATGGTCTCTCCCAGAAGGCTGTCTGCACCGTCGTCGTCGCCCTTGTTAAAAACGAAGTGCTCCAAGAGGGGTACGAGGATCTGATAGACATTGGTACCACGAAGATGAGAAGCGTGGGTAGCCAAGCGACGCAATGCCCTAAGTCGACGATGGCCTTGGATGTGCAAGATGTTGCTGAAGAATGAAGCCTCATCATCATCTGAGAGAAGTATGTGGAGATCTGCCACAGGAACCCAGTCAGGATGCGTCTTGACCAGATGCTCAAGGACGGCAAGATATTCGATTCGAACCAGTTCAGATGTCTCGCGCATACCACTCTGAATTCCAAGTAGGACGGCTGATGACACGAACGCCCTGAATTCATCGCTGGTTGAGACCTCGCTGAAGCGACGCAAGGACAAAGATGCATTGACTCTGATGCTAAGCTCTTCGTTGTCCTTTATGAAGTAGAGCATGTTGTAGACCAGAGGCTTCCATTGAGTGAGAGAAAAGCTTCGATAAGCCTCTTCGTTGATGGAGCTAAACGCCTGTGAACGTCGCTCAAAGTCCGGCTCATCCAGGCGCCCCTTCGCGAAAGAGTTGAGATCATGGCAAATCTTTGCAATGACCTGAAGATCACTGTTGGTATCAGAGAGATCTTGAACGACATCGCAAATCAATTCCCTTGCCGTACGATCTTGGACAAACGCGAACATGGGGCAAATCGCATCATATATTGTGTCGAGCAATTCCTTCAGGTTTTGGTCGTCACAGCGCTGAATAAACTCGTGAAGGATCTTGAGCAACCCTAGCTTGGTACGAGGGTTCACGCGCTTCGAAGGTTGGCGGAGAAGGAAGGTAGCAATTTCAATCATACTGCGCGATTCGGAGGCCCCGACGACATGAGGGGCGAGTTCCGCAACAGTTTGAACCCCAGATTCAAGCACTTCTTTACTTGGATTCTGTCGGAGCAGATGACCAACTCGACCCAGGATTGAAGTGGAGTACGGTTGAATAATGTCGGTATGTATCCGGTTCTTTCGGATCCTCGATTCGGTTGTCGGGGCATCTTCTTCAACCGCCACAAGAGCCACAATATTTCGAACAACGTTGTCTAGAACAAAGCATTTGACCTCATCCTTGGCTGAAGGTACCTCAAGGCAGTCAATGACTTTGGATAAGATGGCTGGATTGAATTCCACCAAGAACGGAACCGTATGAGCCGATTTTGACCATGCTGCAAACAGTCGAAGGATGCCGGAGATAGATTGCGCGGTTTCGACAGGAAATTGGTCCAGTCGAGGTTCAATCATCTCTTTGACGAGGGCTCTGGTGTACGGATGCCACTCAAACTCCGGGCCGTTCTCGACTAACTTGCTTAGAATGTGGAGTGAACGTTGCCGAACAGTCTTCAACAATGATGTCTGCGTTGATTTGCCTTCATCACCCTGGCGGTCGACTGAAGTTGAGAGCTCTCGCGATGCTTTGATGGCAGAGTACAGGATAGGGTCCACGACTGTAGCAATAAACGGGGCGAATGTTGTCGCAAAGGTACTTAGCAAATCGTCAAGCAGGTTCAGCATTCCGACCTGCTTTCGCGTGTCTACTAGGCTTTTCTGCAGCAATTCCTCATCCACAACCCCATCGCTCAGGATCGAAACGTGACCCAGAGGTCCAAATGCGATCTGCAAAAACTGATGTATGGCTTCGTCACCGAATCTTGTTTTCAGGCTAACGAAGACCGCTTTTCTTTTCGACTCAAGGCCTCGTTTTCCGGCTATGACCTTGCCGTACAGTAATCGCAACACGATTGGGAGAACCTGGTCAACGTCGGAGTCTTGGAGCTTGCCTTCGCTGAGAAATATCGGGAGTTCGTCACGGAATCTTTCATCGTCGAGCAGATTCAGTAGCTGTTCCTGGTATGCGACTATTGCCCTGTCTTTCCACGTGAGAAGCGCCTTCAGCGACGCCTTTTGAATTTCGACATCTCCGTTACTGAGTAAGGCAAGGAGGGCTTGACGGACTTCGTCTGTTCGATACAAGACTTTTGGATTGTTGAACTTCGCAAAGATGGAAAGCATTGCTTTCTGGTCTTTCCTTGCCCAGCGATCCTGTGAAGTGGCTGGAGCATCTTCTTCCAAAGCAGTACCTTCGGAGTCTGGCACTTGGTCAAAAGCCCACTTCAAAAGGACTGGTACAAGAAGCCGCGAGCGCTTTTCCGCAATGTGTGGTAGAGAACTCAATACCTTGAGAGCCTGCGTCCTGCTGAAGGAGTTGTAGAAAGGTATTTCGGTATGTGCCTCTTTGAATAAGATCTCTAGTTGCTCTTGAGGGTTGTCAGCTTTCGCTTGAACATCGGCGATATGTTCCTGCAACTGCATCAGGTTCGTACACTCGAATTCTGTAGCGTACGGTCGTGATGAGGCTGCTTGAGGACTGTCAGAAACAATGTCAGCAGCATCGCTCGCAGTCAGCCATTCAAAGACAGTTTGAGTGACAAAGCCTTCTCCCTCCTTGGTCTCGCAAATGGCTTTTAACGCAGAGCAACTATCGTCCCAAACCGATGCCAGGCGTACATGGAGTAGTCCCAAACAGAATGCAGGGATAGCTTCTCCCACCCACTCATCAGAGCATACGGCAGGGTACAGTTTAGCCATTTGGCCTACACGCATCGCGATGGACCTTTGTGTCTCGAGATTTGGCGGTGTTTGCTCAATCAACATGGCGACAGATAAAATCTTTTGCTGTCCTTCGCTTTGGTCTGCGACAAATTGCAGAACATAGATGGCCAAAAGTCTCAGATCATGCGAAGGGGATCCTAGGCAGTGCATGACAGTTCGCTTTAAAGGTTCCATGTGCGGTCCTGTGATATCCAGATCTGTCTTGTACTTCTTTAAAAGGTCTAGTAGCGCACACCAGAAAGCGATCGAGTGTCCAAACACAGTGGAGGTTTGGCACAACGCAGGCCACAGACTTTTGAGTTGGTTATCGTCGCCACCTTTGCTGATAAGGAATTGGAAACCTTTACCAGTAGCCAAAATATCGACGTTCCGCTTTGTGGTAAGTTCCGCTCCTTGGACAGCATTTTTGAGCAAGCGTGCGAGGTCACTCCAGATTTCTTGCGTCTTATCGTCAGCTATGCACAGCGATTCTATCGCACCCAGCAAGGCATTGCAGTAAAAGGTCTGATTCTCCAAATCGGACTCGATTCCTGTAGACTTGTCAAGTTTGCCAAAGGGCTCTTCCAAGGTCGCTTGCCAGCGCTCGGAGGGCTGCAAAGTGGTGTTCGCCAGGGCTCCGCTTTGGTAAAGCTGGGGCAGAATTGCACAGAACTGAGATCCATGCTCATGAGTCTTTTGAGTAACAAATCTGGTACAGTATCAGTGAATGAAAGGTTTGGAAAGAGTCACAATCTCGCACCTCTTGAAGTATGGGAGTAGTAGAGTTCTGAACCTCTCCACGCCTAGACTGGCAAACAAGTTGCAGAATGGTAGAAAATAAGCTTCCCAAGGACCGCAAGTCAGTCCTTCCAGTAACTTCTCGTGGGGAATAGCTGCGTCCAGTGCACAATATTGGAAAACGACGGCGATAACTGATAGTAGCTCCCATGCATCAACGGAGTCAAGTTCAGTCGAAGCTTTGGTAGAATCAAGCAGATTACTGATTAAACCGAGCACAGGTTTCCAATCTTCGACACGTTCACCTTGGCGGACGCCGCAAACGACCATGAGCAGGCGAGATAGAAGACCAACATAGCGAACGTCAGAAGACACTTTGTCTGCTTCGCCAATTATGACTTCGAGCAGAGGGCTGAAGTTCTCTGCATCTGTGTGGTGGATGGCGGCGGTAACTACACCGATAAGCACAGGTTCGAGAGGCGGAATCCGGAGGTCAAGGTGTTCTGGGTTGAGCGTCTCGACCAAAAGCTCTTGCAGAATAACAGTAGCACTTGAGTGGAAGCCGCGCTGTACACCCTTGAGCGAGTCGGTAAAGAGATACATGAGACCCTGTTGGAAAGCATAGTCCTTTGTGGATTCCTGCTGGTCCTTGAGCAGATCGGATATGTGCTTGATGATTGATCTAAGCGGCGCCTTATCTCTATGGTAAGCAGCTCCGGCCTTGCGTACCAGAAAGCTCAGCGACTCGGCCGCAAAGCGGGATACAAAGGCTTTCTGGCGTTCTTTGCCTAGCAGAGGCGACATGAGATCGAAGACGGGGCGCAGATTTGGCACCAATAGCCTTGAGAGGTATTTGAACAGCCAGGCCAGACATCCAAATGCCCATTCTATAACTTCTACATCGGCATGGGTAGCTGCCAAATGCGACACAGTTTTCACTGCCCTCTCAAAATATTTCTCAAAGCGCTCGCCGAGATCGTGTGCAAGATGGGCCATAAGGCTGAGCAGGGGTTCCTGGCTAAACTTTTCGCCCTTTTCAATGTGTTCGACGAGGAGTTCGAATATGCGGTCGCTGTGGTGGAGGACTTGGGGGAGGCTGTCGCAGAGTGGCGCAACCTTGCGGGCAAAGGCTGTGAAGGGCTCCGACATGTTGAGTTCCCTCCACTCGAGGAACGAGTCGCGGAAGTAGGAAAAGGTCGATTCGAGCTCGGCATCATCGAGAATAGTGCTGCGACCGCGGCGAACAGGCTCAATTCTGAGTTGTGCAATGCGCTGCGAGAAGCCTTTGAAAACATGATTGCGCGTGGATTCGGTCCCGCCCTTGACCCGTTTCTGTGGGCGCGCAGGCTTTGATATTTTGGAGGATGGCTTTGTAGCCGGGCGTGAAGCAAGTCCCCGCGACATGGCAGCCATGGTGTGTAGTGTATTTGGGTGTGGTGGAGAGGGTTGTGTCGAAGACTGCAGTGGCTGCATCTTCACTCGATGCTCCACTAGAATTTCCATACGCTAACAAAAAAGCTGGACCCTGGCACTGGCACCACCGACGCCGCCGACGCGCCAATCACCCATGCTCACTCACCACCAACGCGTCGGCAGCTCGTCATAGCCAACATCACCATCCATAATGGCTTCAAAAATGTAAGCCTGTCCTGCTGTTGTTGTCTCGCAACTCACTAACGCGTGCAGCGTCGTCGTCGGTGACGTCAACGGGCAATTCAAGACCGTCTTCCAGAAGCTGGGCGCACTGCACGCAAAGAACAACTTTGCTTTCGCCCTCATCGTAGGCAACTTATTTGCAGCCTCGCTCGATGATGAGGACACGGCTTCAGGTGATGTGCAGGCACTTATTGATGGCCAAATCGAGGTGCCGTTGCCCACCTACTTTGCTCTTGGCAGCAATCCACTTCCCCCAGCAGTCGTCCAAAAGTTGGAATCTTCCAGTGATGAACTATGCCATAATCTCTTCTTTCTTGGTAAGCGGACTACTATGAAGACGTCTGAGGGCATCCGCATTGTCGCACTAGGCGGCCGGTTAGATGCGAACATCATTGCTGGTCAGTCCAAGGACAAGTACCCGCCTTTTTACAGCGAGACGGATGCCAAGATTTTGCGAGGAGCAACGACAGCTGATATCCTCATCACCAACGAGTGGCCAGAGGACATTCGCAAGCGTTCCAAGGTCGAGTTCAACCCTGACGTACAGCCGACTAGTCAGCAATGCATCGCAGATCTGGACGTGATCTTGAAACCCAAGTACCACTTCTCAACATCCGGCGGCACCTTTTACGAGCGAGAGCCATTCTTTCATCCACCCAGTGCTGAAACCGACAATCTCTATCCGGTAACGCGATTCATCAGTCTGGCGTCCTTTGGCAATCCCAATAAGCAAAAGTGGATCTATGCCTTTTCTCTCGAGCCTTCTGCGAGCCATCCCGTCGCACCTCCGCCTGGCTCAACTGCTTGTCCTGTCGTTCTTTCTGAGAAGAAGCGAGTTGCACCTGAGTATCAGGAACAACATCTAGTCTATGACGATGGAAGTCGAGGCCGGAGGGGCAATAAGAGACGAAAGGGTGAGCCTCGAGGGCCCATTACCGCATCAGAATGTTTCTTTTGCTTGGCCAATGAAAACATTGCAACGCACTTGATAACCTCGATTGGCGAGAACTCGTATTTGACTACTGCAAAAGGCCCGCTGCCAACTCCACAAACCTTTTCCAAACTTGGCTTCCCCTGCCACATGCTCATCATTCCATTTACACACCAGCCGACGCTGGGATCAATGGCAGAAGAAGAACGCCACGCGACCTATGCAGAGATGCAACGATATCGGCACGCAATGAACAGTATGCTCAAGTCCATAGCAGATACTGACTATGGTTCAGTCACGTGGGAAGTCAGTAAATCTAGCTTGCCTCATACACACTGGCAATACCTCCCAGTCAGCGCCGACCTCATTAGCAAAGGACTTGTCGAGGCTGCATTCAAGGCATTGGCCGAGAATCTACATTGGCCGAAATTTCAAAAAGAGGATGTTGGTGACGGAGTCGAAGAGACGAGCGACTTCTTCAGGGTCTTGGTGTGGGATCCAAAAGACGATCCAGACAAGCAGACAAGCTACGTTATGCGCTTCGATGAAAAGATACGCTTCCACAACCAGTTTGGGCGAGAGGTATTGGCCAAGTTGTTGCGACTCGACCAGCGTGTCGACTGGAAAAATTGTGGACAGACGCAGCCTCAGGAAGAGCAGGATGTTGAAAAGTTCAAGGAGGCGTTCAAAGAGTTTGACTTTGCCGCATGATAGCCATACTCAGCAAGTAACCTTGACTCTATGCAATCTCTTTCCGTCGATTAAACAAGGCCAGAGGCGCGACAATCCGGCGGTTGGAGCATTGTTACCACACAATCTATACATCCCGGAGTACGTCCGACCAAGCTTCTCCAAGAGATTGGTTCGTAATGCATAGACGTCACGCTGCTAATGGAACATTGCCACAAAGACACGCAAGCCCAGCCAAGTCCCAAGACCCCGACGTCGCTGCGAATATACTCGAAACGGCAATTCTGACATCAAACTGTCCAATGCAGCACTAAAGGGTTGGCATACCAAGCTCCGGTGTCGCCATGGGTAAACAAGGCCTTATTTCCGGTAACCCGAGCAGGTCTCGTGCTCTGGCCAGCAAATTCATTGCAGTCTTCACCTCCGTACCAGCGTCTCAATTAAAACAAAACTTCAAGATTAGATGCAGGACAAACAACAATTATCTAAACATGGTTTTGATGCGCCAGACGCGCACCATTTCAGCATACGTACCTTGGCATCTTCCTCTTGAGGCTAACATCCTTCTTCTTCGAGCCAGGGCCATCGCTTGGCCTTCACGTGCTGTGTAGATGGCGGGGCACAGGCCAATCAGCAAGGTGATCCCCCACTCGACCACATGTGCAATCATGCCCATGTTTCCTCCTTCAAGCCCCTCATCTTTCACGTTGGTCATGTCTTATCATCCATTCGCTCCTTTGCAATGCTTTGGGAGCGTCCATGTATCCGACCCGCACCACGCGTCGGCGCCTTCCACACGGACACATTATCCTCATCTAGCAGGCACCCAATTACAAGGCGATAATGTTAGCGTACGCCCCCGGCCACGACCCTATCACACGTCGCGATAAGCCCACCTGCGCTCCCCATGCCCGTGCTTTTCGTAACCCTTCCATGACCTTATCCCTCTTGCACGCCTACACCAGTCATTGACATTTTCCTCCGTCTTACCATGCAGCCCCCAGTACCGCACTACTCGTCTTTTCTCCCCTGAACAGGAAGGCAGTTCCATGACTTGGGGCCGTCAGAAGCAAGTTGCACTGCCGATCAGGTACCCTTTGCTCTAGTCGTCCGATGTCTCTAGATGAAGGACTATGCTTCAGCCACTTACGACCCTTGCCGACCTGCCTTATTGGGTTTCGGTCAACGATCTTTGTGGGCGCGTGTTTGTTGTAGGTTTGCTCATGGGGTTGTTCCGCGGTTACACCACTTTTTGCTAGGCAAGTAAGAGTAGGTTAAGCGGAGGGGTAGGCGTGCGGTGCTTCATTGGATTGGACTGTGTTTTGTCTGGTTTCCTGGGACGGGAAGAGGAGCGGAGAGGGCCGGGACTAAAAGATGATGGTGGACAGTATGGTAAGAAAAGAAAAGACTGGGTGGGAAATTGTATATAAGATGGAGGGTGGTTGTACGTACTGTCGTACCCATTGTGCATGACATCGGCTTCACTGTCGAGTGTCTACCTCTGATTGTGGGTTTCCATATCTCAATTGACATATTACTCTTCCTATTTTCTCTCTCTCCCCCCCCCCCAACAATCCAGACAAAGATGAAGACCTCCCTCCTCATCGCCGCAGTCTCCGCTGCCATCGCCTCCGCCGCCCCTGCCCCATCCAACCTTTCCGCCCGCGCTCCTCCCAACGTGCCCTCCAAGGCCGAAGCAACAACCCAGCTCGCCGGCCTCACCGTCGCAGCCCAAGGCCCACAAACCGGCTACTCTCGCGACCTGTTCCCTCACTGGATCACTCAATCTGGTGCCTGCAACACGCGCGAGACGGTGCTCAAGCGCGATGGTACAAACGTCGTAACCGACAGTGCATGCGCGTCGGTCTCCGGCTCGTGGTATAGCCCATACGACGGCGCAACATGGACGGCAGCAAGTGACGTCGATATTGATCACATGGTCCCATTGAGTAATGCCTGGAAGGTTTGTTTTCCCTCTTTTTTTTTTTCCTCCTTGATAAAAACAGAAGAGAGAGAGAGAGAGAGAGAGAGAACAAGGAAACTGACGAAAAAAAAACAGTCCGGTGCAGCATCCTGGACCACGGCCCGCCGCCAGGCCTTTGCCAACGACCTGACCAACCCCCAGCTTCTCGCCGTCACCGACAACGTCAACCAGGCCAAAGGAGATAAAGGACCCGAGGACTGGAAGCCCCCGCTAACGAGCTACTACTGCACGTATAGTAAGATGTGGATCAAGGTCAAGAGCGTGTATGGGTTGACGATTACGAGTGCGGAGAAGAGTGCGTTGACGAGTATGCTTGCGACGTGCTAGAGTATGAGGAGAATGAATGAATGAATGAATGACTAAGTTTTTTTTTTGTCATTTTGAATAAAGAATGATTGGTTGATTGGTTGATTATGTATATGTCGGATTTACAATGTATATATGAATTCTGGGTTTTCTCTATCCGTGAGATCGAGCCATCTAGGATAACAATCAGAAATTGGGCTTTTATATCTTTGGTCCGCGTTGGAAAGCTTTTTTTTTCTGAACTGTGAAGGAGGAAAGGGGGGGGAGGAAAGAAAACTTACTCCTGATTCTCCAACTTGACATAATCGGGTGCTGCTCGAATTAATGCCTTTTTCTTGTTTTGGCGTACGCAGTAGAAATGGATGAAGGCGAGGATGCCGAGACATACGCCCCAGCAGACGATGATTGTGACTTCGGCGGGGACGTAGCGGGGTGCGTCTGAAGGGCGGAACGTCTGGGGACCTGGAGAATGGGAGTTGATGTTAGTTTTCATGTATGTATGTAGTATGTCGTCGGATATGCAATTTCTCCTCGTGGTGCCAAGGGAAATGATACAAAGAAAGGAGGCAAACATACCTATAATATTCCCAACACAATATCCAATCAAAAACATGGCTGCTACACTCGTCTTCTTCGTATACCCCGCCACATTACTCGCCACCAAGCTCAAGAGCGCCACAAATGGCGTTGGACTTGCCTGTGTGAGATAGTATCCCGCCAGGCGCCCCGAATTGCTGGATAGCGGCAGCGCGACAATGAGTAGCATGCCGAGGATAGCAGTGAGCAGGCCAATCATGGAAATCAGAATGCGGTTCCCGTACTTATCGCCGGCCCAGCCGCAGGCAATCAGGAAGACGATTTCGACGGCGCCGCCCGGGGTACCGTATAGGAGGGATTGCTCAGGCGTGTAGCCGAATCCAACGATGAGTTGGGAGAAGAAGTTTGAAATGCCGCCTTTTGCATACGTCAGTATCAATTAGCAAAATAAATAAATAAGCAGGAGTAAGTAAGGAAGGGAAGGAGAAGGGGGAAGAAAAAAAAAAGACGAACCATTCGGAATATCAGCAATCAAGGCATAAAAGAAAAACGCCCAACTCAGCGGATCCAGCAACGCCTCCTTCAACTGATACCACTTGAAATGCCTATTGCCCACCCCCTGCTTATTAACCCGAATCCGCTCGACGGCCAAGACGCGATCCTCATCACTCAACCACCGACAATTCAACTGATTATCCGGCATAATCCACAAAAACGCGACACCACAGCACACGGTCAGCAGGCCGGTAGCCAAGAAAACAATCTTCCACGGCTCAATCTCGGTGCCGAGTTTGCGGCAGCCGACGGCGATGCCGTAGGCGAGGCAGCCGCCGAAGATTTGCGCGAACCCGTTGAAGCTGAACCAGATGGCGGTGCGCGAGCCTTGCTCCGCCGTCGTGTACCATTGCGAGGTGAAGAGCGCGAAGCCCGGTGTTACGGCTGCTTCGAAGACGCCGAGGAAAAAGCGGATGGCGAGCGCGCCCTCGAAGTTGGATACCGCGGCGAAGCAGGAGAGGATTAGGCCCCAGATTATGATGTTGAAGGCCGCTACAGAATTATCGTATAACTCATTAGATTTAAGGATTTTTTTGTCTTTTTTTTTTCGATTGAGAGAGAGAGAGAGAGAGAGAGAAAGGGAAGTGTGTGTATGTTGTGGGGGGAAGGGATTACTTACAATATTTCCCCAAAGGCAAAACCTGCAATAATCTCGACGTCGGATACTCCCACGCGATATAGCCAAAGTAAAACATACTTCCCAGCCACGAGTACTCGTCTCCCGTGAGATTAATGCCCGACTTGAGCAGATTGCTTGAAGGCGGGAGTTTGAGTCCCATGATGCTGGCGTAGGATAAGGTTGTTTTGTCGAGGTAATTAAGTCCGTATACCAGACACATGATCTTTAAAAACTCGTGGTTGGTATTTGGAGAATGTAAAAAAAAAAGGTGGATGGAATGGATTGGGAAACATGATGGTAACTTACAGGCATCAAATGCAAATCAATCTTCCTCAACAACGCCCTACTCTTCTCCTCGGTAAGCTCAACCACCTGGCCTTCCATCCCTTCAAACGCTTTCATAGCTGCATCCGCATCGTGCGAGTGCTTGAGAAGTTTCTCTGCTACCGTGCCCTTTGGCACAATGCTATCTTGCACCACTGCATCTTTCTCGACATCCTTCACTGTGGACAGAGGGGCTGCGGGGGCTGCGGATGCCATGGCGTGCTGCTGGGGCGGGGAGGGGAGGACTGTAGGAGTTGGCGCTTTTAGTTTGCCACACACATACATACACACTCACACTCCCCCTAAGACAAAGAAGATGGCAGTGATTTGTGGTGGAACACACAGATGGGGACAATGGGGATATCAATCAAGACAAAAGAAAAAGAAAAAGAAACTATTAAGTATATCGAACTTATGTAACTTAACCCACCCGAATTGCCTGCAGATCCAACGGTATGTCTCTCTCTCTTCTCCCGCCTCCAACTTTCCTTTTCGGGGGAGGGGGGAGTGGCCATTGGAGTCCCGTTGGAGCCCGTTCGTCTTTTTTACCCGTCTACTATCTCCAGCCCACTTTTGTTGCTTGTCCATGATAAGATAAAGCTTGGTTCGGCCCGCCACTTACTTACCTCCTCATCCTTGAACTTACAGGCAGCGCGGAATCCAAAAAAAGGGTGGCCTTTTCTTTTCTTTTCTTTTTTTTTCCAATCGTCTGATATTCCCCTCCCCCTTCCCTTCGCCAAAGGAGGGGGGGGGGGGGGGGGGGGGGGGGGCGGCAATAAAAAAAAAGCCCGACGTTATCACAATCATTTTGCGGGGCTTTAGAAGACAAAAAAAAAAGCGTTGTACTTATGTGTCGCTAATCGCTCGCCCGCATGCCGCCGCCCTCCCCGCCTGCGGAAAAATCCGGGTTGAAAGAAGGGGAATGATTGATCTTGTGGATAAAGGTGAGGCAAAAAAATATGGGGTTACATGATAGCTACTAATTTGACGGCGCCTTTAACCGTAAACGGAAGCTGCGTTTCGGGAATTCCAGATTAGGGAAGCACAACATGCTTCAGTGGTGGAGATGTGGGTTATTGGGGGGAAGGGGGGGGGGGAAAGGAAGCATGGAGGTCAGGGTGATTGATTGGATTTGGGGAAGGTGTTACCAAAGCGGGGAAATAATGATCGATAGTGGGCAGAGAGAGAGAGAGCCATGGGCAATGCATGCAAGTGTGCGTGTCATGTCAATGTGCTAGTAGGGTAGCAAAAGAGATAGAGCGCTTATCACGAGCGCGCCCATCTCCGCGCATCAAAAACTAAGCATGAAAACAAGTTTAAAACTCTAAAATAAGCGCGGTGCACGCACACACACACACGACACAACTTCAAGACACTAGAGTAAGGAGGCCATTCTTGGCATGAACCATTGCATTGCAACTAGAAAACTCCCTTCTTCTTTTTGTCCAAAAAAAGCAACACACCTGTGCGAAACCCGTAGTAACAACCACGCTTGCCGGTGAACAGACTCCCTTGAACAAAAAAAAACGCCTGGCTGATAAACAAGCCGATGCTCTAAATTCATGCTTTGCCTTGCCCATTTAGGCCCCATCCTAAATCTCAGATGGTAGCCGCACTACCTTGCAAACGCCGCCCTGATGCAGTTTCGTAAAAATGCTTTGAAACGACAGTTTCCCTTTGATTCGGGAACAAGAAAAAGAAGCCAATAAATAAGTTTAAAAAAAAGAAGCCGCGAGTAAATCATCACGCGTGTTTAAATAGATAACCAAAGAAGCGAAGACACAATGCTTGGTCCGAGAGGGCGAAATGCGCTACTACGATCGGACAAAGACGCTGTTGAGCTTGTTCAGTGCGCTGCTGTCGGCAGCTGTGCTGTTCTTGGCAAGTCGTTCTGGGGCCAGATCGCGGGGAAACCTCGATGCAGTGTTTGGGCTGCGGCTGCCAGAACGGCTGGTGCTCTGGTTGTCCTTGATCTGGACATCGCCATTGAGCAGCGAGTCGAGTGTTGGCAGGGGCCTCGAGGGTGGTGGGGGTGCTGATGTGGTAGCAAGAGCGCCGCTAGGCTCTAATGGGCGAGGATCCGACTTGTCAGAAGTCTCTGGCGTTGGTGGCCTATTGGCACCTGCCGAGGCGGCGACGGCACCGTTGATGGCTGGCAGTTGGGGGCCTTGCTCGGGAATGGATTGCGCAGGTGCTGGTGGAGGAGCAGGTGCGCCGACTCGCTGCAGATGCTGCTGACGTTGAGTGTGATCGGCGGCGGATGGAGTGCGCAATGGAGGTGTCGTCATGTACTGCTGGGCAGCGTGAGCAGCGTGCGCGGCATAGGCGGGGTGCTGCACAAGCATGGGATGGTGGCCTTGGGGAGCGTGAGGATGTGCGATTGGCGGCGGGGCGCGGTCAAAGACATGGGCCTGGGGGTGATATTGGGGCTGTGCATAGACTACGCCGGGGTAGAAGTAAGGGTGCTGTGGGTAGTAGGCGTGTAATGGAGAAGAGCCATTCGGAGGCGTGGGAGGATAGATGGGGACGGCATACATGGGCGCGACAGGGCCGCCGCGTGTGTATGGCGAAGAAGGGGCCATGCTGTGGCCTGGAGGATTGTATGGGGAACCAGGCATGGGGCCGCGAGTGACGGCAGGCACGGATTGAGTCTCGTTTACTGCAGACTCTGGGTACATGTTCTTAGGCGGTCGGATGTGTCGCAACTGGGCGTCGTTTGTGGGCTGGGGGAGGTTGTTGGAGTTTGAGCGCGAGTAGTAGCTGATGAGGTGGAGGTGCTGTCCGCTCTGGGTGGTGATGCTGAAGGACTGCTTCATCAGACCGTCGGGCTTGTATCGGTAGCCGTCTGGTCCCTCGCCCTCGGAGTCTCCGTTTGCAGAGCCGTCTGGCGACTTTCCGCTTGCGCGCTTTGCAACTGGCGGAGTAGGCACAGCGCTGCCTCCTCGCTTGCCCTCCATTTCTCGGTATGTGAGGAAGCTGCCAGAGACGCGGCTGGCGCTCCATGATTTTCCGTCGGTCCATCGTCTCATGCCGGCCTCGCGCTCGTCCCACACGAATACTGAGCCCGACTTGATCTGCTGGCGCTCCTTTTCGGACAGGCGGCGCTGGACGCGCGGTAATATGCCAATGCGGCAGGCCTCGAACAGAATGATGGCATCGTTGGGGGTGCGGACGTGGCCGTGGTAGGTCTCCATGGCAGTGGTGGTGGCCGTGGTAGCAGGGGTAGGGGTGTGTGTATGTGTGTGTGCGTGTGGCGTGTGGTAGCAAAACGGTACCGTAGTAATGCGAGGTCAGTGCCTCATGGGTGTCTTTGGGGTCAATGTCAGTTTGTGGGTGGTGGCAGGTAGAGCGAGTGTATTTGGGGTTAAGTACAAGTCGCAGTGGAGAGAGTGGGTGTGCCCGGCAGCGTCGGGATCTGGCGAGAGTAGGCATAATAGCTAGTACAATGCCTGACCCCCGAGTGGAGGTAGCTAGTAGGCGAGACGAAACAAGAGACAGAGACTTACAGGAGGACGTGCGACTGCAACAGTGATTGTGACAAGGTGTGTGTGTGTGTGTGCGAGAGGGGAGCTGGTGGGTGTGGATGAGAGAGTGTGTGTGTGGCTGTGCGGTCAGATCAAGGCTGGCCGGGTGCTGGGCGGAAGGCTAGCGAGGTGAAACGACGCCGGGGAGGCAGAGTCAGGACAAGTGGGCGTGGGTGGGTATGGGAGTGGATAGACAGCAGGCGGACGAGGAAAAAAAGGCGAAACTTTTGCAAAAGCCACGAGCAGTCATCTGGGCTCATGTACTTGCTCACGGGCAGGGCAGGCCAGGGCAGCGCAGGCTTGGGCCCCAGAAAGGACTTTTGGCCCTTTCTCGGCGTTGGGATGGCGTCTCTGGATCGCCCGCCGCGCGTGGAGTGGCGGCTGATAGCCAAATAAGGCCCACAAGCAGCCGAGACAAGCTTTGCTCGGAGGCCGCTGACTGTGCTGACTGGGTCTAGGGCTGGATGGCGTGCTGGGGGGTATCGGTAGTGAGGAGGTAGTGGACGCGGCGTGGAGTCGTGTGCGTGGCGATGCTCAGCACACGGAGGAGGGTAGAAAAGCGCAGAGGCGCGGATGGCCGCAAGCACACATGGACACGCGCCTGCAGGCTCGAGGAAATGAAGCGCCCAGCCTGCCACGGCTGCCACGGCTCTGGTGGGCAGCGCCATGGGCATCGGCCGGCCAAGCTTTAACTCTAAACGAATCTTTATTTTCGACAAGCCTTCAGCCGCTTGGCGGGCCCAGTCGTGACAGTCCGGCAATCCGTCTTGTCGTGCTTGGCTGGTCGAGGCGGGCGGTGCCCCAATCTACCAAGCACAGCCAAGGCGTCCCAACCGCCTGTGTCTGGCCATACTGCGCCTGAGTGCTCCATGGCGCCCTTGGCCGTGTGCGCACAAGACGCGCCCAAAGCCGCCAGCTCTGCTCGGCGCCCTTGGTGCTGGCAATCAGCCTGCCGCTCTCCCTTGTGGCCTACGTGGAGCTTTCCCACGAGCACTGAGCACCGCTCGACATGACCCAACGCGGCCCCAAACGTAATCAACCCCCAGTCTCACTCAGCCTGCACCACCGCAGCCAGACAGACACACTCGCCCGCGAATGACATCAAGCTTAGTGCATGCCGTTTAAGCTTACCACCGTGCCACGCCCATCCCAAACCCGTCCACACGGTAACCCAGCCCGTCCCTTGGTCGCCCACATGACATGCCTGTGCTCGGCCACACTCTCCTGCATCTCGCCGCTTCAACGCTACCGACTTATTACACAGTGCTGTACGCCTTGCTCCAACCGTCCGTGTGCATACACCCACACACGATCCACGCCCTCGATTCACTTGTGCAATCCCTTCTGTTCTCCCTCCACTGCCTGCCCACCTGGCCTGCCCTCCTAGCAGAACCTGCCTCCACAACGCCACGGCACCTAGCGTCTCAGCTGCCCTAGACAGTCAAAGGCCCGATTTGGCCTTTATTGGCGCTGGGTCACACTCAAGCCAGCCAAGACGCACACAAACACTGCCGTCGACTTTGGCACCACCAGCCAAGATGCCACCACCAATGCTTCCTCGTGCTCTTTTCCACTGCCCTCATCCACCTTCAACACCCACCCCATTTGCCAACATGCCGCGTCATCCGGCTTCCTACTCAAGCCTGCCCAGCGTTGGCTTTCTCCACCCCTTCCATCCTTTAACTCCCCGACTAACCCATACCTACATACGTAACAAGCCACTCCAGCTGCAAACAAGGAACCAAACTGCCTATCTATCCGTTCGCATCCGATCCTGTCTCCCTCCAGCTTACACCGCACTTTGTCCTTTTTTACCTGTTTGGCCCTAATCCATACCCCTACTAAAAATTCACCCCGTTTTCCGATTCGCTTAACATCTACCGGGGGGGGGGGGTCTGCTGTTACAACAGGCACTAAACCAACTTAGCCAGCGTAAGCAGATAAGGTTGGTTCGCAAATATTAAGCATAATTCTCTGGCCCGCTTTGTTCCCTAGGCCCTAGGCTATTTCCCTCTCGCTCTCTCTCTCTCTCTTAACAAGCGGTGGCAAAACACAGTGCGCAAACAAGCCCCACAGATTGATTTAGTAGTCTACCAAGAATCGTAATATATCATGTGTAATATGTCATGTGTGATATGGGAGGGGGTGGGAGGGGCCACGAGTAAAAACGAAACAATCCCGTCTCAATCGTATAGCCCGAGTGACATATGTGTGTGTGTGTGTGTGTGTGTGTGTGCTATTATCGGCTTTGTCGGCGCCAGGGGGGGGGAAGCCACACACTCACTGAAATCATACGAATACCGGCTCAGCTCAGCCCGCCCCAACTCCGGCGCGGATGCTAATGCAAAATCATTTTCCCTTCGTATTGTCTTTCTTTGTCTTTTTTTTTGTCCGTTTCCCGTCGCATAATACTCTCATCTCCGTATCTCCGTATCTCCTCTTTTCCTTTCTTCCACCACTTGCCTCCATACCCACATCCCACATCACGCACACCCGTTATACCGGGGTGTGCGCCATCTATTCGAGTAGAGAACGTTCCGGGGGTGGGTTGGGTGAGTGGCCCAAGCAGCCCCCCTCCCCCCAACTTTGATTTATTTAGCCTTGTCCATGCGAACCAAGGGGACCCCTTGGCGCCGCCCTCTCTTTTTTTTTTTTTTAAACCCTCCCCCTTCCCCCCTCTTTCGCACTTGTGTATCTTGAATTTATCCAGTTTGGAAACTAGAGGAGTGTGTATACGTACACATTAGCTAAGAAAACAAAATATATATAATTTGTTACATGGAAATTTATCACGAGGCTAGGGTGTTTCTGGCGTCTTTCCTTGTTGCTTTTTTCTTTCATATATTATCATTTTTATCGGCCAAGATGGAAAATCGCATGCACTGGGATTGATCGATGTAGATTGTCATCGTTTCGGACTTTTTTTTAGTTTGTTTGTAGCGAATGACATTTTGGAAAGGCGAACTGGGCTTACTGTACTTTTCGCTCGGATAACATGCACATTTGGTGTCCGTGCCCTCCTGTCGTTTTTTTATTTGCGTAATGCTGAGCGTGAGGGGAAGGGGACTGTGTGTAGGTAGACAAGCGGAGAAAAGTAATGTCTTGGATTTTATTGGATCGGTGTCTACGCAGAATGTCTTGTCTTTCTTGTCGTCTTCGTCGGAGTGTCTCGGACTTTCCTTCGTTCGCCGTTTAGGTCTTGGGGGCTTACATTAGATTACGTATGTAGGCTAAGAAATCAACATTTATATTACAAATGTGTCTGCCTAGACAAAAATTGATGTTTGAAGGGGGTTGTAGAAAGCCACTACGGGAATGGGTTAGTGCAAGGGTAATTTGAAAGGGGGGGGGGGCGGGAAATGTTAGAACCGGGAGTGTTTTTTTGGAAAGCGATATAAGGGGTATAGAGAACGAACGTTTATGCAAAAAAATAATTTGGTTCAGTCGAAACTGACTATCGAACTTTGGTTACGGCGATGTGTACAAAGTATGACTAAGAAAAGCTGTAAACCTTAATTTCCAGATTATGAGGTGCCAAGTTAGTCCAAAGCTGTCATGCATTTGATCGTTAGTTATAAAATAGAGTTTGAGGGTACGATCACCGATAGACTAAGCTGCAAGGATGGCCAAATGCTTATTTTATCTCCCCCAGTCTCTGTTTCTGTATCTCTCTCTTTCTCTCCTTTTCAGTAATGGATCGTCGTGCCACTGCCGTAATTGTACTAGTATATATTGTACCACGATCGTATAGTAGAAATGTCATATGTTTTTTGGGTCTTTCCGATATTTTTGGTTTGATTTGCAGGAGACATTTGAGTTAATGCTTAGATGAGATGACATACACATTTGCTGTACTAATGTACATGTGCATACGCATGGATCTTTTTGAGGAGAAAAAGTTTCATATGTAATATAGCAAAGTTTAAGGGAAAAGGCAAGTTAGACGAAGAGGTATGAGTGGAATAGGCAAGCAATATATCAAGGCTGGAATTCGATATGGAAAAACGTTGAGGTGCTATATAGTTCAGTGCAGTCATCCTGGTGAGAAAGATAACAGGAGATGGATAATGACGATAAAAGAGGTTATGTGGAATATGGGATAAGAAGTCGCTAGATAGGCAAACAAACGACCTACGAACATTATCTCACTCGCTTGCTCCATTTCGTCAACTGCTCCACCCCTACACCTGCGCAGCCTTCAGCCTAACCATCAACCCCGGCTTCTTCCAAAGCGTAAACACCTTCTGCATCGCCATCCAATCGCTCTCTTTATCCACCAGCTCGAGATCAAACGAGAAGAAGACGGAAGCAATAACAAGACGGAGTTCGGCCCAAGCGAGACTATCCACCAAGTTAGCTTTATTCTTTTCCAATGCTCCCCCAATGGGAACAACATAGAGAGACATACTTCTTCCCAATACAGTTCCTCGGTCCAAAACTAAATGGATTCCATCCCTCCTTCTTATCACCACTATACTCTTCATTCGCACCCTCGAGCCATCGCTCCGGCACAAACGCATCTGCATCCTTGAAATGGCGCGAGGAATGGTACATGGCATATTGACTGACATACACAGAAGTACCTCCTGGAATGTAGTGTCCCGAGATATTGCCTCCGCCTTGTGGAGCAACGCGCGGGAAACCAGTGGGGACGGGGGGATACATACGCAGCGTTTCCTGGATGCAAGCGGTGAGGTAAGGAAGCTGCGCTGCTTTTTCCGCATTAATGTCTGCGAGAGAGGTGAATGCAGAGCGGATTTCTTGGACCATCTTGGCATAGATGTCTGGGCGTCGGAGGACGAAAAAAGTGAATCCAGATAGTGTTGTAGCAGTCGTCTCGCTGCCGGCAGTCAGAAACGTAACGGCGTTTGCATCCATTTCGGCGCGCGACAGCCGTTTCTCTTCGCTAACGTGGTTGCGCATGAGCTGGCCGAAGAAATCCGGTTTGTCGTCGTCGCCGTTTTCAATCTGTGCGAGACGCTCCGATACTTTGGCTGAGGCTTTGAGACTGAATTGGCGGCGGCGCTCCTCGTTCTGCCTTGTGTCCTGGAAGAGGTTGCGAGCCCAGTCGTAGAATCCTACAAAGCCATACTTGCGGGTTGACATTATGCTTGCCACACTCACCGCGCCGTAGACTAGGTCGATCCATTCGTGATTTTCCGAGTCGCGCAGACAGTAGAGAGATTCACCAAAGGCGAGGTCGGCGATGATGTCAAAGGTTGTGTAGTCTGTTTTACACATCGTGACTCAGTTTGTTTCTCTTCCCCCTTTTTTTTTAGACGTGCAAAAAAAAAAGGTTGAAAATACTCACTGTACCAGCGAACAATGTCCATGACTTCTCCTCGTGCAGCATGCTCACCCATCCGCTGGACAAGCAAATCAACGTAGCCCCGGAGAAGAGATTCCTGCTGTCGAAGCGACTTTTCACTAAACAAGTGCGAAAGGTTACGACGCTGGCGAGAGTGAGCTTCTTCGTCGGCACTGATCATAGACCGTACGCCACTGATGGGTTTGGGACTATTTTTACGCAAGCACTATTGTCAGCAATCTTGCTCCTCATATCGACAAACCACACAGTTGACATGATACTTACTACCACGCGTGATCTTTCAGGTACGCTCCTGTACCCTTGTACTTGCCCGTGCGGAAGCCGTAAATGTCAGACCATGCAGTGTCTGCCGAAGTAAACGAAACCTCATTTGGAGCCACGCGAACCGCATCTCCATATTCTTCGTGCAGCTGCGTAATCCATTTGGAAATTTCACCACTACGCGTCTTGATCACATATGGAAGGGGACCGGCCCGCGCGAGAAGAGGTCCAGGAACGTCTCGGAGCGGGTGGAAGAATAAATTGTATACGCCGCAACCTAGGACGTAAATGGCAATCTGCGTTGAATGTCATTCGTACGCTGTTTCTTTTGATAGTGGACTGCATGTTGTATACAGGAAGTGCACGTGCCATGTACGTAGTAGAGGGGAAAATAGTAGTAAAAATCCCACTCACCGAAGCCAGAAAGACCCCAAAGGAAAACACAATCCCCTTCGCACTCACCACCTCAAACCCAACACGATCAGAGATGGTCTCAAGAAACATCTTTACCCCCGAAAACTATCGATAGATTCAAGGACAATGTGTTTCCCAACTACCCATCTCACAGCAAAAAACAAAACAAAATCCAACCTATGCAATGCTCGTGTGATACAAGACCCTTTATACCTCGACCACCAACCACCTACCCCTACACCTTTTCTAAACACCGAACCGACTGCCTAGAAAAAGCAAAGCAACCGAGCAAACCGAACAAATACTCTAGACCACCCCTGCAACCCCCTCCGTATTTGTCGCAAATACACAAGATCTACACATGCAAGAGCAAATGCAACGGCGTATCGGACAGCGCACCAATACCCCCCGGTGCTACTAGTTCTAGAAACTCAGTCACGTACATACTACCCCGGTCCATATTCCCCTCCCTTCCGCAAAAGCTGAAAGAAAGAAACCCCCCCAAAAAATTCATGTGCAAACAGCTTTTAGCGTGGTCTGACATGCACATGTACATGCATGAGTACTGCATGATAAGAAGAAGAAGAGGACAAGGGTTTTCCTCGTTTCATTCTTTCATCTTGTCTTTTCTATACTATCTGATCTGCGCAGTGTTCCAGTGGTTAACCGCCGCCCCAACGCAAATTGCCCAACGACCATGGGCCGCCGCCGCGGCGGTGAGACAACTAAAAGCGGGCGGCCTTTTTTTTTCGGCCGAGGAAGGGTGATCGACGGACCGCTGAGCCTCTCTCTCTCTCGGTGGCATCGGGTATATCCCGGCTCGTTTCGGTGGAAATAGTCAAGTTAATTGCATTCGAAAGTAGTACTTGTTGGATTTTTAGGCGCCTACGTACATATCTCAAAGAGAAATTGCGGGGCTCGAAAGGGGTTTTGTTGCGTTGTGCATGGCAGAGGTGTGGTTACGCTTTTTTTTTCTTGCGTTGCTGTGAATGCAGCAGGTGAGGGGGTGCTACTACTAAGGGTTTGGTGGGATGGTAGTGTGTGGTTCGGAAGAGGGCTACCCCGCTGTGTACGAATGCATGGCTTCGGTGTGGGGATGGGAGGATTAGCTTTTGTCTAGCATGTGAACCACCCAAAAGGACAGTGGCGACTTGAGTAATGTACAAGAAGGTGAAGAGAGGTTAGTGATGTGGAACCCGGTTGAAGCCCGGATATAGCTTGATGTGCAGCAAGGAGGTTTAGTATAGTATTATATCGGGCCAACAGTAGCCATGTCAGCCTATCCTCTCTCAATATACCTAGGCTATCTGAACCTCGATTCTTCATTCCATGTACACGGTATTTGCCTCAGCCCGCCACACTTTATTTCCCGCATCCCAACCAGTAACCCCGGACCTATCAGTCAGCTGTATGCAATATCACCAAAAAACCGGTCGTGTGCCGAATCCATACCAAAGTTGCCATAATGATACTCAATCTATCATCTCAAAGAACATTGAGAGAGAAGAGCTAAAAAGCAAAAAAAGGGGACTTTGTGTTCATCTCCTCATTCCCATACCCCCCAAAGGAAAAATCCCATATACTCCCCCAGCCCGTTATCAAACCAGCCTGCTTCCCTCCCCCCCAGCCAAATGGCAAGTTAAACAACCGCCCCTTCCTATAAACCCAAACCCACCTCCAATCTATCTCGTCAACCTCCTCGACGACCCACTATCACAAAAAAAGTCAGCAAACCATTCGCATTGCATTTTCAAACCCCACTCAATCTGTACAACCACCAGCACCAGCACCAGCACCAACCCCACCCCCTCCCAGAAAAGGAAAAGAAATCACACACACTCACCTCTTCTCCGTCGCCGCATTCCACGTCTTCACAAACGCCTTCTGCGTCCTATCCGTATACTTCTCCGCACTCACCTCCCTGACGCCAACCTTGGCCCCATCTTTGGTAAAGACGACGTTTTTCTTCTCCATATGCTTTGTACCGCGCTCAGCCAGTTCTTCCGAGTAGAGGAAAATCTAAAGCAAGAAAAACGCAAAAACACGCAACACATTAGCTTTTGACTTCACTTTGTTTTTATTTTCGGCAGTCGCCAGTCGCAAAAAGTGGCTTGTTGGCTTTCACTACATTGGCAATGTTTTCGCATTGCCCTCAAGCTATATCTTGCGATCGCTGCTGCTGCCAACTCGACAATGCGGGAGGCCTTTTTTTTTTCGTTTCACGCGACAAGGGCAAAAGAAGAAAAAGAAGAGGAGGGGGAGGGGGCTGGCGTACTTGATATCCCACCCAACCCAGCCCCGCCACCACAGCGAAGAGGATAAAGAGCGGAATCAGATTTAAGGCACCCATGGTGTTTTGGTTTTAACTGAGATGGCGTAGTGTGGAGAACCAGAAAAAAAAAGCGGCTCGTTTGGAAAAAGAGCCCGCGCAGAGGGGTGTGTGTGTGGATGCAAAGGTGACGTGAGTGACGTGGTAGATGCGCGAACTGGAAAGCCCGACTCGAGGAGGAGGAGGAGGAGGAGGAGCAAGGAAAACCGGTGGGCGGCGCAGGCGTTGCGTGCGTGGGTGCGGGCGCGCGCGGGGGGGCGCGTGGGCGTGCGGGGGTTTTGTGCGAAAGAGAGCGAGTGGAAAGAGCAGGCAAAGTTGGGTGGTTAACGATAGTAGTAGTAGTGGCGATATACCCCAACCGGCTTCTTATTCAAAAGTCAGAGCGAAGTGGCGCGTAAAGGCTTACGGCCCCCCCCCCCCAAAAAAGTGGCTACTACACCAACTTTGTGTAAAATTGCTATCAAGGGGGTGGGGAAAGGGAAGGGGGGGAAATAACGCGCGAGCTCCCATTTTTACCTTCAACATGGCGCAGTCCAGTGCTTCCAGACGCTGCTGAAACTCTGGGTTGCTGGGTAGTAAGCCCTTAGCGTCGAGTCGTCGGCCCGCACCCGATCTATCCGGGGGGGAGGGGGGTGGCATTTCATCGTGTTTTCTTTCTTCTTTGCGCTTGCTTGCCAAGTGATTATTTTTATTGGCGGCATGGGGGGGTATGGCCGGGAGGCACTTTTGACATTGTATATACATATCATTGCCACACATCATGCTGTAGATGTGTCTTAGACAGAGGCATCGCATGGACCCTTGGTGTATGACAACTCCAAGGAGCCATTCACACAACACGTGCCGCAGTACGGAATGGGTCACGATACGAAGATTATGTGCTGCGCCCCCGTATATATACTTTTATGGGACTTGCCCATGTGTGATCACGAAGTTTTCTGGACATGATCTCTCCTTTTTGTTGCACTTTATTCTTATTTTGCTACTAGATCACGAGCAGGCTTTTTTTTTAAGGAAACATAGGTCCACATATGAGAACATGTCTCCTCGCCAGAACAAGGACCTGTGCACTACTGAGTCCAAACTTGGTGCCGATAACTGAGAGTCGACCAAATAGCCAGTCGCGTTGCGCTTGTGGTACACTCTCAGCGTTTGCTGCGACGTATAGTGGCCAGACTAACGAGTATCCACCAAAAGCTTCTGCGGCTGTAAACTGTCAGAATGCTAAAAGTTCATCCTAGGTAATGTCTCAAACACTCACCGTTTTGTTCCTGACCCGTCTCCTTGGCCAAAGGTTGGAGCTCATAGCTCATGTGGAAAGGCACGCATGCACTAATCTCATCCACCATTGTTTGAATGACAAACACGCTTTTGTTCCACGCCTGGTCTTGTTCTGAAAAGTCTCCACCAGACCTCAGCCACGTTATACAGGCCATGATGACCCGGCGACAAAATATTCTGCAAACGCGGTAGTCATTCATGATACTCGCCAGTAGCACGTCATGATACACATGCTGCTCGCCAGGCCACTTCTCTGCCAAGGCAATATCCTCGGCTGCCAGTGTCTCATTGGATATGCTGATAATGCGGTGTTTCCATTCCGATGGCAGTGTGCGATACCATTCTTCAAGGTTCCCATCGACTGTTTGTGCGAAATCGAGTATCTGTTTGGCTTCAGACTCATACCTGGGGTCATATGGCATAGAGGTGAGGGTATTTGCGCGGGCGCGAAGATTCGGTAGGTCAATGCAGATAAGCGTTAACCGGTTGGCAGCGTTTTCATCACTGAACTCGCCAGTTCCAAGCCACCCTGCCGCACCAGGAAACGACTCGATGGGCTTGGATCGCTGCACGCAGCTTGTAATCTACATTCACTCAGTCACCGATCCCCGTGGATAGACCGTGGAGTCTTACCATCATTGTGCGCACTGCACGAAATACAGCATGAGACATGGGGTCGTTGAATTGCTCCGTCCCTCTTAATTTGGTCAACGCGACAGCTCCGTCGACATGGTTCCCCCATGCTCTGATGGTGTCGTCGGTACTCATGATTGTCTGCAGATTGTTAGATGTAGCTCAATCATCCATCGACTCGAAACACAAGTCGAACAAAGGCCTCATGACTTACTTCGTATAGAGAGAACATGAGTATAGCAACCACTGTCTCATTGCTCTTGGACATTTTGGGATCTCGAAGATCTTCATGCAGCTTCTTGATGGCTTTGCCGTACGTGGACACAGCTTCGCGAAGGAGCCGTTGTCTACCGGGATACTGACCACATGTTGCCATCGCAACAGCATCAGTGGCAAGGTGCAGTACAGACGAGGGACGGGCACGATTGTAAAGGGGAACCAAGTGCTCGAGAAAGCCTCTTGTACTTTCAGCTTGTTGCGGCAAGGTGATGAAGTTTTTGAAGAAAAAGGGCACAGCTTCGCATTCTGGAGAGAGGAAGATGGTGTTTGGGACTGCGTTTTCAAAGTTCCAGACAAAAGTCTCGAAATCGAATGACTTATCCAAGGATTGTGAAGGTGTTGCAGCACTAGATAGTGCTAGTAGCTGATGTGACTGGATCGAGTCTGATCGCTTTTGTGATTTTGATTTTGCTCTTCTAGAGGCCTCACCTCGTTCGAGCGCATTGTCCACTGACCACCCTTCGAACGTTGAAGATGGTGACCTAAAAGGATTAGCTGACTTCTTGTCTTGTGCGAATCACATAGCAGGAATTAGTCGACACTGACAGAAAGGAAATGGCGTCCAAGCACATGATGGGGCTGATTGGTGCGGGTTGGTTGCATCACTAGTGGATCAGTAATACATACAGATATGGAGAAGTATGCGAGCTGGAGCTCCCAGTGCTACTACTTGATCGAGTAGCCCCAGAAGATTTCCTTGCCTTTTTTGCCATTGCCTTATTCTCGTCCCGGAAAACCAGATCAAAGTCGTCTGGATATCCTGGACACACACGGGCTGATTTCTTGCAGTTGCCACATGTCGGCCGTTTTTCGTCGCACTGGGCCAGGTTAGTGGGTAGGCTAGAGTGTATGTAAAAGCGGCTGCGGTCATTCAAAAAGGATTGCTTGGACCCTTGGTGGTATGGAAAGAGAAATGGTTGCGAGAAGGAGATACACACCTTTATTCGGCGAGTCTTGCACATGCCACACCCGCGGCTCGGCTTACCGGTATAAACCATGGTGGTATAAGAGCAATCCACGAGACGTAAGAATGATTAACAACAGTTTTGTCCCGACACTTGGGCGCACTCCAATGCTATTTCCTGGTTTGTTCCGGAAGGCCTGGCTATAAGTGGAATGGAAAGGTAGCAGTGATGTATGTGCCTGAATCGACTTTAGGTGACACTGCCCCTAAAGCGTATGACTACTATTAAATCTCCGTCACCACTAAATTGCAGCAGGCGTCGTCGAGTGACGAAACTTGGTTAAGGTTCTGGGCAGGCGGAGGGGCTGCGCTGCGACGACCGAGGCACGCGACGACTGGCTCGAATAATCGAGTTTCATGCGGTGGTCAAGACGGCCATGCGTGCGGGCAATGCGAAGTCTTGAGCCCTAGGACAGGATTTCGCGATCGGACGGCTGGAGATGCAAGGAGACTCGACAGACTGGCCAATGAGGAGGGCCGGAGGCGTAAGTTTACACCAGGAACAGCATCTCGAAGACGGCAGATGGAAACATTGGCATTCCGAATCGGCGGACAGGTGCGCACCGAAAGTCCATGACGGAAAATGCAGTGGTGGTCGATGTGTTTTCTCGCAAGCAATACCAGATGCGGCTTAGGGCGGCAACGAAAACAGTGGCGCAGCTGCGTGGCCGTGTTGGTCGCATTGCTTGCTGGGCGGGCGTCTTGAAAAGGAGCGTCATGTCACTTGGGTGGTTTAATGTTGCTGCCTGGCTTTTTGTGTGTGCGTGCGTGTGTAGGAGGCGCTTCACTGGCGCGACCCAGACGTGTCACACTCGGTCCCCTCTGCAGCAAAGGGTGACGATATCTAATGACTAGATGATGCAGAAACGACCGTAATACGAGGAACGAGAGAATGCGTTGGGTCAGACACGAGATGAGGAAAAAGAGCAGGCACATGGATGAGGAGAGCTGATTGGGGTCAAAAGAAAAAGCGAATTGGAAACCCAGAATGCTCCGAGGCAACGCACCCAACGAAGACGAGGCAGAGGGGTTCCTTCCTTGCCCAAAACTCAGGATGCGCCTTCCGATTCCAACTCTGACGGCAGTCGCGATATGGTCATGCAACGTCACTATCACTCTGGAATGCTCACTTCTGGGCCTGTTTCCGCGCGTCATCTTGGCCTGCAGTCGTGGTGGTCTGCCATCAAGTCAGACTGCAAATAGAGCAGCTCAGAACTGGAGCCGAGTTCCCGGTCACAATGTTGAGAGTGCGCAACAGCATACGGACGGACGATTTGCGGTGGGATAGTCGAGGCTGCAAAAGTCCGCCGGCAGTACAGGGCACATGATCAAGCACGAGGTATGTATGCTGGAACAAGGAGACGAGATGAGCGTCTTGTGCATGGCCATGGTTGCATGCCGTGGCAGTGAGTCGACTCTCAAGTGATGCACTGTGCTTTGGGAGCAATAACTTTCACGTGATGAGCACGTCAAACGCCTTTCTCAGCAGACAAGCAAGAGCAGCAAGTTGAAGCGATCACGTGGGCTTTGCTTAGTAACGGCTCGCCGTGGGCAAGTGCAAGGTTTGATTGAAGGCGAGATGGCGGCGGGGATGCGAAATTAGCAGGAAATTACTTCGGAGAAACCGTTCTAGATCCCAGCCTTAACACGGCACCGACATGGCAGGGAGCCCGTTAAGCGAAAGTGAGTGTACAGAGATTAATGAATAGCCTGTTGCTTATACTACGACTGTGCAAGAGGGAACCCGACCAGGCGATTGTGCCCATCTGCCGACATGTGTAGTAGAAAAACAAAACAAAGGGTGCAATGGCAAGGCGGGCGTGACAGGCGCGTGGCCAGGGCTGTGGTGGACGCAGGGCCTGATGGCGGCAAAGGGACTGGCCCAGCGGCATTCTGACTCTGGCTGCCGGCTGAGAGATCGCGTGGTCCAGGCGACGATGAAGGGGCGTCAAGGGCATTGGACGGGCGATTTCCATGTCCTCTAGGCCCTAAAGCAACGACCACCCAGACACACGGGCTGACGGGAGTGTCTTGGCTAGGTGAAAAGCCTGCCGGTTGGTCACTGCATGCTATTGTTGCTGCTATTACTGACTGCTGCTGCCGCCGTTAATGGATGGGATGAGCAATCGCCAGCAACAGCATGTGTGTGCGTGTATGTGGACGCGCAAGATATTTCCGTCTTCCGCATGCACAGCCCGGTCTTTGGCGGACGTCATACTCGGACCAGCCACTGCAACCGTCAAGAGTGGCCCTGCATTCAGAGATAGCCGTCTATTTTTACGCGCACAGCCACGCCATCAACGGTCGGCGCGAGAGCCCGGCGACCAGGCCACCGCAGCGACATGGCTTTTGGACTGTTGTTGGGCAATTGTGCATCAGCAGCGTCATCAGCAGCAGCAGCAGCAGCAGCGTCCCGTTGTGGGAGGATGGGGTTTGTGAGCAATTGCGAAAGGGCCATGTGCTAGGCGTCTCTGGGGATGCTTAGGAGGGCGGCGAATCGTCTTGTCACGGACCCGAGTGAGGGGCGTCGATAGGCTGGCCGTGGAGCAGCATTGCTCAGCTCGTGTGCGCGATTACGAGACGACTGTCTTTGCTGGCAGCACAGCAGACAGGTCGGGTTAGCTAGTCAGCCCTCGTGTGTGCACCGCCGTGTCTTGTCTTGCCATTGTCTAGCAATAAGTACTTAGTGTGTGTGTGTTTTATGTAGCTAGTCGGCTAGCAGCGTCTACCAAGCACTTATCTGTGCCACGGCCGACGAGCGCAGGGCGGCTGATAAAAAGAAAGGCATTCCCGCGCCCTTTGCAACCGTCTCTCCCTGCTGTACCTGCACCGAGTTCCCCTTCCGCCTCGTCGCCCAGCTCGTTCGTGTTCTCGAACGCGGCCCAACAAGCATCCTTCGATAGCGCTGGATCCAGAGGCCTGCGCCATTCCCCCATCCCAGTGCAGCTAGCGCCGCGCGTCTTTGCCTGATTCGCGTGCCCGCCCCCCCTTGCCTCGCTGCCCGCACGGTTTCAGACCAGAGCAGAATACTGGGCTCGGGCGCCTCTCTTCCCTCTCCTCAACCACCACATCGCTCGCTCTCGTTCGTTATCTGTTTCACCTGCACTACCGTCGCTTCTGCCAGGACGCTTGCCCGCCCACTGCCTGCTTCCCGCCGCAATCGCCCCCTCTTGTTTTTTTGTCCTTCGCTTTCCACACCTGCTCTGCTTGACACCACGCCCCCCATACGCCATTTAATCTATCTGTTTCTCCCTTTTTTCTCGCCCTCTCGGCACGTCCGTCGCACACGCCCTTCGCTATCGACAGTCGCTCTCCCCCTGTGAGGAACGCCCGCGGGCGGACGACCACCAAACACGACCACCAGCACCACCAGCAACAATGAGGCTCAACACAAGATACTCGGCCATGCTCGCCCCCTTCATATTACTCGCCTCGGCCCCTCTAGGCGCAATGGCGGGCGACGTTTTGCAGACCAACGGCTTCAGCTCCTGTCTCGACGGCCCTTCGGACATTACAGTAAACCAGCTCAACATCAAATTCGACCGCTCCACTAAGAAGGTTACTTTCGATGTCTCCGGCACAAACGAGAAGACGCAAAAGGTCATGGCCACCCTCACTGTCGCCGCATATGGTCGAAACGTCTACAACAGAACCTTCAACCCTTGCGATGGTGACGTCAAGGTTGACCAGCTGTGTCCAGGTACGCACAATTCTCTCTTCTGGCGCCCTCAGCAGATCAAATGCTAACCCAGCCCAGTTCCTTCGGGCACATTTAGCGCACAAGGTGAACAAAGCATTCCAGACGACATCTTGTCCCAGATCCCCGGCATAGCCTTCAACATTCCGGATATCGATAGTCAGGCCAAGATGTACCTCCGATCTATTGACACCAACCAAGACCTGGCCTGTATCACCTCGTCAGTCACCAACGGAAAATCTCTTTCCACCACGGGTGTGCAGTACATCGCTGCAGGACTCGCTGCCGGTGCTCTGGCCGTCTCTGGTATGGCCGCCTTCGCGAGCGCCGGACACGCTGGCGCCGCTCAGTCCAGCCCTACCTTTGGAGATATTATTGGATGGTTCCAGGCCATGTCACTCAACGGCATGATGAGTGCCGACGTTCCTGGTGTATATCGCAGCTGGGCCCACAACTTTGGTTTCAGTACTGGTCTTATCTGCTGGGACGACATGCAACGCTCCATTGACACGTTCCGTAAGAATACCGGCGGCAATCTTACCGAAAGCAACTACGATTACCTCAAGAACGCGACCCTCGTCCACGTAAACCAGGACAAGAGCTTGAGCAAGCGCGCTATGAACCTCCTTCTATGGGCTCGTGATGAACTGAACACCAATGTCAACCAGAACTCGGCCCCGCAGGAGAGCGACAGCAAGGTCATGATCTACGCAAAGGACATGCAGGGCTACATCCAGGAGTACTCAATCCCCGATCGCAATGCCTTCATGACTGTTCTGCTCATCTTTGCCATTGTCGTTGCTGCCATCACCGTTGGTATCCTGCTCTTCAAGGTTATCCTGGAAACCTGGGCTCTCTTTGGTAGCTTCCCCAAGCGTCTGACGAGCTTCCGCAAGCGATACTGGTGGACCCTGGCAAAGACCATTACCAACTTGATTCTCTTGCTCTACGGTATCTGGGTCCTCTACTGTGTTTACCAGTTCAAGAATGGTGATTCTTGGGCGGTCAAGACGTTGGCCGGTGTCACTCTGGCTGCTTTTACCGGAATTCTGGCCTTCTTCACCTGGAAGATCTGGACCATTGCGAACAAGTTCAAGAAGATGGAAGGCAATCCCGATGTTCTCTACAACGACAAGGAAGTCTGGCGCAAGTACAGCATCTTCTACGAAAACTACAAGAAGAGTTACTGGTGGATCTTCGTACCGGCCATTGTCTTCATCTTTGCCCGCGGATGTGTCATTGCAGGCGCAAACGGTCACGGTCTTGCCCAAGCCGCTGGTCAACTCATTGTCGAATCCCTGCTCCTCATCATGCTTCTCTGGGCTCGCCCGTACTCTCTCAAGTCTAGCAACTGGATCAACATTTCCATTTCTGTTATTCGCGTCTTGTCCGTCGTCTGTATCTTGGTTTTCGTCGAGGAGCTGGGCATGAGCCAGACGACAAAGACGGTCACCGGTCTTGTGCTTGTCGTTGTGCAGGCTACCCTGACTGGTGTTTTGGGTATACTCATCGCCGTCAACGCAATCATCATTTGCTGCAAGGAGAACCCTCACCGCAAGAAGAGAAAGGAAGCTGGTAAGTTCAGAAACTCACTCGTACACAAACAACCCTAACAGCCCTCTAGAGAAAGCTCGTGACCTCGACAACCTTACTCCTCTCGACGCACGCAACTCGCTTCTTATGGATCCTCAAGAGTACAAGCGTAGCTCTCTTCCCTCGCCTTTTGGTCCCCGCACCGAGGGCTATGATCCCGTGCCTCTTGCCGATCAGCACACGGCCTATTCGGGTCCTGGTGGTCGCCCATTTGCAGACGACCAAGGCCATCTGCTTGCTGATGCCTCAACATTCGGCCGCACACCTTCGCATGACCGAATGAGGAGTCACGACAGCAGCCCAGGGCCCGACGCGGAAATGGGATACCACCAACCTCCAGGATACGTCTCCAATGCTCCCTGGCAACCTCAACGAGGTCCGTACTAGGTTGATAGGTTTCCAGCATCATTTCAAAGCGAAGACCTAGACGGAGTGTAGATACATGTACCGTCTGGGCATTGATTCCCCACTTTCCTTGAGTCTTTTGTCCTGTACTTGGTGGTGGTTGTTTGACAGATAGAGCGTGTCAAATATACCCCATTCATTACCAGCTCCATTGCATCTGACGAGGCACGCCCTATACGGCTGTCTTGCTCGGCCCGATCACGAAGCTTTCATTGAGTCGTTTTTATTCTATTTATCTTTCCTTGCATCTCTGTTTTCCTGTTTTGGCCCGCAAGTAAGAGATCTGATACCAGTTCTTTTGTAATTCTCACGTCAAGCGCTAGGCCTGGGGCTTGCGCCAATCTCTTCTTTATTCTGTCATTGTGAAAGGGGAAGGAAAAGTGAAGTCAAAGGGGACGAGGAGGTGGGGAATGGATAAGTTGAAAGCCTGGGAGCTTGTGAATAAAGAAGAGGTGGGAGACATGGAGATATAGAGTGGGGGGGGGAAGTAAGGAGACTGGGAATGTCTAGTGTAGATGTCGAACACCATATACCAAATCTCAAATACCAAATATCATATAATTCAAAACAAATTGAACATGCTATGGTGAACCACTGATGTTGTCGTCCCCTGAATACCCACTTGATGTGCCATTAATTTTTCTTTTTCTATTTGCTACATTCTTTGATGATCGGACTGAAGAAAAGTGATTACTCCCTGTTTTCAAACAATCAACGCACCTCATGCATCCGAGAAAACCTTACTACCCTTGTGCGTTTCTTTTTTTCGGACGAAAACAACAGCACTTAGCCCCGCCAGTCTAGAATAGCCTACGTCATGCAACACCTCCTTCTATGCAGTACCCAGGGCAGACCTGTAACAAAGTATTACCCCGTCATCCCTCCACATTGCAAGTACATCCACTAAAGCCGCATGAGCAACACGGACGACTCCATCAAACCTCCACCCTAAAAAACCCTTCTTCACACACACACACACTCACATACACACAAGAGAACAACTCCACGCCAAGCCGAACATGACCCCTCCAAAGTCCATGCATTCTTCGCCCTCTTGCTATATTTCCCCC